CCGCTCTCTTTTTTTTAGCATTTTCCGATGCCTTTGTTTTAGGGCGTCCCGGCCTCCGGAGTGAGGCTTTGGGACCGAGGCGGGGGGTTTAAAAGGGGAAAATGTTCATGGACTAAACCTGCTGCCTGCGTGTGTGCGTGCGTGGGGGGCGTGTGTGTGGGGTGTGTGTGTGTGTGTGTGTGGGGTGTGCGCGCCGCGCGCGCGCGCGCGTGTGTGTAGGTGTGGAGTGCGCACTGCCCAAGTGGGGCAACTGCGATGGAAAAGCGCGCCGTGACTATTTCAAGGGCATCGGCGGGACCTAAACGAGATTAGAGAAAACTGTGTGTGTGTGTGTGTGTGTGTGTGGGGTGTTTTGTGTGTGAGAGAGAGAGAGAGAAAAGAGAGAGAGAGAGAAAAGGGAGGAAAAAAATTCTGGAGGCCGTGGAAAAAAAGGGGGGGGGGGGGGGGAGCAGCTGTGGGGCATACAGCTGTAATTACTCTGTCAAAAATGACTAATTTTACTGCAGAGACACGCGGCGGCGAATTCGAGAGTTCCGCGTCCCGGCGCGCATTTTGCGTAGTGCTTCACACTCTTGTTTGCGCCGGACCGGGGGAGGGGGGGAGGGGGAGGGGACGGGGGGGGGAGGGGAGGGGGAAGGGAGGGGGAGGGCAGGCCTGCAGGGGTGCAGGCCGCAGCCCGTGCCAGCCCCCTGCCAGCAGCAACGCCGTCATAACTCTTGGTCGCGAGGCGAGCAGGCGAGAGCGAGAGGTGAGTAAATAACGGCCTCGCGAACAGAGAGTGCAAAGTTGGAAGACAGAGCCAGCCTAAGAAGGGCGTCCGATTCATATTCAAATGCCGGGGCCGTGGGCCTCGCTGCGGGCCGTGAGCCTCGCCGGGCCGTGACAGGTGCGGCGTGCGCATACAGGGCGGCACGCGTGAGCGCGTGAGGGAAGGACAGAGCTTGTTTACGCTACCGTTTTTCCCCTTTTTTCTCTCTCTCTCTCCTCCTCTTCTCTCTCTCTCTCTCTCTCCCTCTCTCTCTCTCTCCCTCTCTCTCTCCTCTCCCCACCCCTCTCTCTCTCTCTCTCTCTCTCCCCCTCTCTCAGAAATATCATTGTTCGTGGAGGTGTACCCGGAAGGACCCGAGTTCAAATCCAAACAGATTTTTCTTTTTGAAATATAATTATTTATTTTAATTATTTTTTTTTCAACGGTTTCGGTTTTATGTCTTATTTTTCCATGTTCGGCTGGGAAAACTTTTTTCCCGCTCGAGTCGGAAAGGCAGGGAAGCAGGAAACACTTGTCCTGTTTGCAGTTCATTGGTCTGTCAGGCGATTGCATTAATTAGTTTGGAAACACTTGAAGTATTCTCTGGCTGCTGGCTGGCTGGCTGGCGGGTGGGCGACTCAGCAGCCAGCACACTGATTCCGAGAGTCGTCGCTCTGTCTCTCTCACACCGAGACGGGAGGCCCCTCGAGTGCGAGAGAGACAGAGCGACGACAAGCAGCCTGGGCACACCGAGAAGAGAGCCGGAGGGGAGGGGAGGGGAGGGGAGGGGGGGGGGAGGTGGTTCAACCTCACACGACCCTCTCCAATTTCACCCCTTCAGCCTCACAATGACTGACCAAATTAACCAAAGGCTGTCGGTGTAGTGAGAAATTTTAGCAGGGTTTTCCTGGAGGACCAGCGGGCCCCGGGGGCCCTGGAGGCCCCACAGGGGGTCGAGCGGGCGAAACACGAGTTACTGCCGACTAGCTGGTGATGCATGAGCTTTAAAAACAGCCATATATTTCATCTGTGCACACTTGGTTTCTCTGGGGCGAATTTCACACTCCGAATGAGAAGAAGTTGTCGCTCGGGCCGGCCCGGCCCCGCACGCAGTACGCATCGGGCTGGCGGCCCGGGGGCGGCTCAGGGGCCCGGCACAAGGGCCGATAAGCCGGCAAACTTTGCCTCGCTTTATGAATTCCTTGCTTGAATCCACGATTAAGGCGAGCATCGTTTTTGTATGGTAATTAAATGGGGCGCCGCCATTGTCGCGAGGCTCAGGCCGGCCGACGTACGCAGAGCGGGGGGGGGGGGGGGGGGGCAGGCGGGGCGACGCGGAGCAGGTTGGCCAACGACTCAAGCAGGCCGCACAGTGGGCCAGAAGACCGGTGGGCGCGGACAAAAATCCGGACGCGTTTTGTGCTCCGAAGTCGCTAAGTTGGGCTTGAACCAAACGTGTGACCCCACCAATGGATTGCTTTTCGAACGAGGAACCCATTGGTGGGGTCACACGTTCGGTTCGAGTCCCATTTAGCGACTCTGGAGCTCGAAACGCGTCTAGAGTTTTGGCCGCCTCCACCGGTCTTCTGGCCCACTGGTTTTCCCAGGAAGCCTATGCTAGAGACCAAAGAGACATAGGCGATTCCCGAGTTCCTGAGAAAACCGTGAGCCGCTTTCACCGTGCACCACGTTGCCGACCTCTGAAAAATCCAAGCGCTGCAAGTTGTTGCACATCAAACGCGGTTATCGCAAAGTTGCGTTCGTCTCTCATTCGCTTTGAGTTGGTTTATTCGGCCGCCTGAGTCCCCCTGAGCGACAAATTGCCTCTGCATCAAAGCGCCACGGCTGCGATCGGAGCGCGCCAAATCCGGCAGTGATGAGCGAAAAGAATTAAATCAGTATTTCGGGTAGGAAAGGGCGTGAATTGACGGCCGAACGAAGCTGGACTTGATTTTGACGGTTTTTGTTGTTTCAGGTCGGAAGGACCGAAGGCACCGAAGGGGAGACTTGCCATCCTTCACTCCATCCCTCTCGCTCTCTCGCTTATTGCAACCTGCGGAAAAAGGAAGAGAGGAATCGGCGCGCTTGTTTTTTTTCTTCCCAGCTTTTCCCCCCCGTCTTTCCGGTCATCCGTTGAAGATGAGTAGTTGTTGTCGTAGGGTTCCCCCCGTCCCGGAATTTGCTGCCGAGTTGAGCAGCGAGCGAATCATGATCTGAGTTATAGCTGTCTGGATGCACCGCCGACCTGGGGTCTGGGGCCGCCTGGGGGGAAGTCAGGGTGTCAGAGAGAGAGAGAGAGAGAGAGAGAGAGAGAGACAGACAGACAGACAGACAGACAGACAGACAGACAGACAGACAGACAGGCAGACAGACAGACAGACAGACAGACAGACAGACAGACAGACAGAGTGTGTGTGTGTGTGTGTGTGTGTGAGTGAGTGAGTGAGATTTGGGGGATGGTGCGTGAAAGATTCCAGGGGCCGCTGGAGCGCTCTCACTTTGGCTCCAGCCCCGCATGCATGGACAAGTGGCGTTCCTGATCGACTTAATTTCTGGGGACGTCGTTGCCGATTCATGGGGTTTGCGGCTGCCAGGCCGAGGCAGGGCTGCCAGGAGGGGACGGCCGCGCCGCGCAGACATGCTCATGGAAGATTGAAAAAGAGCCAGCGACCGCCAGCGACTGGGGACGGAGGGCCTGGACGGCCAGGTCACTGGTCATTCCATATTCATGGGCGAGAGAGATTCGAGTTGCACGTGCAACGGATTTAAGATCGAACCCTGAGCAAGGTAACGTACGGGTGCAGCCGCACATCATTTCGATACCTCGCTCGCCTCGCTACCCGCGCCAGAACGGCCCTATAAACACGCACTCTGCACCGAAATCCGATCGACCACAGTGGGCCAGAAGACCGGTGGAGGCGGCCAAAATCCCGGATGTGCTTTCAGCTCCAGAGTCGCTAAACAGGACTCGAACCGAACGTGTGACCCCACCAATGGATTCCTCGTTCATAGAGCAATCCATTGGTGGGGTCACACACTCGGTTCGAGTCCCACTTAGCGACTCTGGAGCTCAAAACGCGTCTAGAATTTAGGCCGCCTCCGCCGTTCCTCTGGCCCACTGTGCATCGGCGGTCGAGCCGACCTACACTGTTTCAATAAGGGAGGGTGGGGATTTCAAATTTGGAAACGCTTCTTGGCGCTCTGCTCAAGCGGAGCCTAAGTAATCCCCTCCAATCACAGACTTAAGGAGACCGCTCCATTTAGCCCGTCCATTCTAATCTCATTCATTCGTCCTTCTGTACACACGCGCGTCCCGTCCCGTCCGTCCCGTCCAAGGGAGGGAGTCACGGAGTCACCACCACGCCACTGAAAGTCCCCTTCCAAGTCTACGCTCAAGTCTCACCAGAAGTCTTCTCAGAAAGTCTCAGCGGAAGTCCCCCGGATGCAGAGCCGTGGTTGCATTCGTATATCGGACGGGCCATGAGGTGTGAAATCTCACACGCTTCTTCTTCAGGGTCCGCCCTGCAGACACCCTCCTCTCTCTCTCTCTCTCTCTCTCTCTCTCTCTCTCTCTCTCTCTCTCTCTCTCTCTCTCTCTCTCTCTCTCTCTCTCTCTCTCTCTCTCTCTCTCTCTCTCTCTCTCTCTCTCTCCCCGCGTCTCTCTCGCTCGGCCCTAATCCGCAGGGGCAGTGGTCGTTACAGGCGAGCGTCGTCTCTCTCGCACGCTACTTGTTCACAGTGTGGCGGTTCGTTAGCCCCGCTGTGGGATTACAAGCGCTTTTGCCCCCCTTTTTTTTGTTGTCAGAAATTTTCGGTTTTTGGACCATAGGATGTGTGCGTGAGTCCTCCGGAAATGCTTTCGACACTGTCATGTACGACAGAAAAATTCCCGGTATAACTATGTAAAAAATTAAAAAGAAGTTTTTTTTCTACGCTGGCGGCGTCCGGTCACCACCACCTGTCACCTCGCCGACGGCGTCGACGGCGTCCTGGCCACTCACCGAACAAGGACACGAGCAGGGCGCAAAGGGCCTGCAGGGCCGGGCACGACGTTCGCCGCATCCTGGGCGAGTACATCCTAGAGCGTGACGCACTACACCTCACTGCACTGCATGATGCACTGCATGGCTCGGACGCGGCGCGGCGGCGCGGCGCGCTCGGCGCGATCTAGACTTCGCGGACGTGGTCGCGGCGGCGTGGCGGCCGGGGCATGGCGGACACGGTGCTCGTGCGTCCGCGGCTGGGCTGACACTGAGGGGCGCAGAGCAGCGGCCCGCCGCCCCCGCCGCCCCCGCCACCCCGGCCGCCCCCGGCTGCCGCCACCCTCCCCGACCAGGACCTCGGCGCTGCCTCCGAGGGTTGTCCGCACCGCCACGCCGCCGCCGCACAGTGGGCCAGAGGACTGGTGGAGGCGGACAAAATTCTAGACGCGTTTTGAGTTCCAGAGTCGCTAAACAGGACTCGAACCGAACGTGTGACCCCACCAATGGATTCCTCGTTCGGACAGCAATCCATTGGTGGGGTCACACGTTCGGTTCGAGTCCCATTTAGCGACTCTGGAGCTCAAAACGCGTCCCGAATTTCGTCCGCCTCCACCGGTCTTCTGGCCCACTGTGCACCACGCCGCGGCCACCGCAACGCGCGCCCAATGAGGCGAACGGGCCGCAAATAAGCAACGCTTTCTAAAAAAAAAAAAACAGCTTTATTCGAGGCAACAGACAAAAATAACAATCGGTTCGTGTATTCGTTACAGTCGCGGGTTCAGTGTGCACAAATCAGTTGGCCAAACTGGTGCGCCTTGCGTCCCACTCTAAACGTCTCACGATTACATTTCCCGTAACGGGGAGGAAATGACGCAAGCATGCGACTTCTTCACACAGGCGCACAGAAAGATTCGCATTGCGTAGGAAAAGTTTCACTGAAAGACATTTAGAGAGCTGAAGCGAGCGATGCACAAAATGAACAAGCTTGGTGCTCCCGGGTCGGCCTGCGGGGAGGCTATCGCAGACGCTGGACAGGCGCGCGAAGGGTTGCCTACCCTGCGGGCGCGCCGCTGGCCGCAGGCAGCGCACCCTGAGTGTGAGAGAGACGCTAGCTACGCCGGCTAGTGCTGCTTGTCCGCCTCGTAGGCCGACTTCCAGATGTGCACGAGGCAGCCGGACGAGTGGAAGCGGTACAGCATGGTGAGGGGCACGGTGGCGTGAGAGATCATGGTCCACAGCACGCGGCCGTAGTAGTCGGCGCGGTGGTCGCGCGCGTCCACGGACTTGATCTCGAAGGTGTCGGTGATCCAGAGCGCCACGTTGCACACGATGAGGAAGGTGACCAGCTCGCGGCCCGGCTTCTGCAGGCGCAGCTTCACGCAGTTGGAGCAGCGCCGCATGCCGTCCATGATGAAGGGGGTCTGCACCAGCACCTGCGCCACCTGGGGGAGGAAACGACGGACTAGAGCGCCAGGCCCGGACCAGGCTGCCAAACTCCCGGACGCGTTTTGAGCTCCAGAGTCGCTAAATGGGACTCGAACCGAACGTGTGACCCCACCAATGGATTGCTCTCCGAAGAGGAATCCATTGGTGGGGTCACACGTTCGGTTCGAGTCCCATTTAGCGACTCTGGAGCTCAAAACGCGTCTAGAGTTTTGGCCGCCCGGCGCCGATCTTCTGGCCCACTGTGCTGCACCAACTCACCTGCAGGAGGATGGTGGTGATGGACAAGTAGGAGCGCTGCTCCAGGGCGGGGACGATGCTGAAGATGGCGTACAGGAAGAAGGCGGGAATGCACAGGAACAGCAGCAGGTGGTCGAGCAGGCAGGACGACGAGGTGGCGCGGACCACGTCCAGCTTGGCCAGCCGGCAGTAGGCCACCATCACCGCCACCGTCATGAGGGCGAGCAGCGCCACCTCCGTCACCGAGTTGACCGTCAGCCCCACCTCCATGTACTCGCTGTGCGCAAAGTCGGCGTCAGTGTCGGACTTACTTTGCCCAACGTCGAACAGGCATTCGCACAGAGGGCCAGAAGACCGGTAAAGGCGGACAAACTTCCGGACGCGTTTTGAGCTCCAGAGTCGCTAAATGGCAGTCGAACCGAAAGTGTGACCCCAGCAATGGATTCCTCGTTCGGAGAGCAATCCATTGGTGGGGTCACACGTTCGGTTCGAGTCCTGCTTAGCGACTCTGGAGCTCAAAACGCATCTGGGATTTGGACGCCTCCGCCGGTCTTCTGGCCCACTGCGCGCCACCAGCGTACCTGTCGGCCATGGCGAGCAGGAACAGGATGATGGAGATGGCGGCGCCCACCAACACGATGAGCCCCGCGAAGAGGCCCTTGTTGGCGGAGTGGCAGTCGGCGTGCAGCACCACGTTGCTCACGAAGCCGCTCTGCGGGGACATAGGCGGCGGCCGGCACAGGGACGCCGTCGAGCCCCTGGCGAAGGAAGAGCAATCCATTGGTGGGGTCACACGTTCGGTTCGCGTCCCGTTAACCGACTCTGGAGCTCGAAACGCGTCTAGAGTTTTGGCCGCCTCCACCGGTCTTCTGGCCCACCGTACCTGCTCGTGGTGCTGCTGGCGCTGGAGGTGCTGGCCGCGCTGCTGTGGTTGCCCTTGTCGGGCTCCTCCGGCGCCGCGTTGCTGCAGGTGCCGATGTTCTGCCAGATGACGAACAGCACGCCCACTGCAGCAAGGCCACAAGGTTCAACAAGGTCCTCAAGTTGCCCGACAGTTGCCGATTTCTTTGGCGGCGCCACACTGACCGACGAGGATGCTGTACTCGATGGTGAAGGGGTACAGGTAGGGCGACAGGCTGTCCAGGACGGTGGACAGCTGTGTGGAGCCGCGGCACTCCGACGAGCCCAGCGAGGACGCGTTCATGAACTTGACCAGGTCCAGCGCCCCGCCTAAAAATTTTAAAAAGGATAAGTTAGGTTACAGAACTGCTGCGACTGGAAAATGAACCAAGAGGCTGCTCACGCTTGTGGTAGGTGATGAGGGGCAGGGCGACGGGCCCCGCCGGGGAGGCCGTCGGTGCCACCAGGGCCGCCGCCGCTGCGGCCGCCGCGGACGGCACCACCACCACGGGGCTGGGGTAGTCCGTGTCGTAGTCCAGCAGGGGGTCATCGGGCTGCTCCAGGTGCTCGGGGTGGTCGTGGTGGTCGTAGTGTGCTAGCGAGTCCATGGTCTCACGCAGGATGGTCCACACCCAGAAGCACAGGCTGGACGACAGGCAGTGCATGAGGGCGAAGCGCGCCAGCTCCTCGCACCGGTTGATGATCACCTGCGAGGCCATCAAGGCGGCATTTTGAACAGTTCGCCATCGTGTGCGGTCGGACAATGAGCCAGAAGACCGGTGGAGGCGGCCAAACTTCCTGACGCGTTTTGAGCTCCAGAGTCGCTAAATGGGACTCGAACCGAACGTGTGGCCCCACCATTGGATTGCTCTCCGAACGAGGAGTCCATTGGTGGGGTCACAGGTTCGGTTCGAGTCCTGTTTAGCCGTTCTGGAGCTCAAAACGCCTCTAGCGTTTTGGCCGCCTGTGCGTCGGCAGGCGGCAGGCGCTGGCGGTCAGTAAACTCACGTTGGAGTACTTGAAGATGAAGAAGAGCTGCAGGAACGAGTACACTGGGTACAGCACGTCCAGGACCAGCGTGGCGGGCGAGGCGCACTTGTAGAACTCGTCCGGGTCCTGCAGCAGGAACATGGCCTGGTAGGCCAGCAGCAGCGACGAGTGCACCAGGTGGCCGAAGCAGAAGCCAGCCGCACCCACCTGCAGCAAGGCCGAGCAAAGCGCAGCGCTGTCGGTCACTCTCCTCGTCGTCGCACAGTGGGCCAGAAGACCGGTGGAGGCGGCCGAAACTCGAGACGCGTTTTGAGCTCCAGTGCCGCTTAATGGGACTCGAACCGAACGTGTGACCCCACCAATGGATTCCTCGTGCGGCGAGCAATCCATTGGTGGGGTCACACGTTCGGTTCGAGTCCCATTTAGCGACTCTGGAGCTCAAAACGCGCCTGGAGTTTCGGCCGCCTCCATCGGTCTTCTGGCCCACTGTGCGTCGACCACCTCGACGTCTCGACATGACGCCCACCTTGAGGTAGAAGCTGGCGGCGTGGCTGGCGTCGCTGAAGCAGTAGTCGTGCGGCACGGGCTGCACCGGCCGAGGCCGCGGCGGCGTCAGCGACGTCCGCGGCGACGCCTTCGGGGACGTCTTCGGCGACCGCGGCGCCGGCGGGCGGCCGTCCCCGGACTTGGCGGCGCTGCCGGGAGCTGCGATGCGAAACAAGGGGCAACCAGCTCTAGATAATCTACGTCACTTCGGTAAACCGTGAAATAATCAACTCAATCCGACAATCACAATTATACTCTGGGAGAGTAAATCGCCTTTGACCGCAGCTATCTTGGAAACAGAGGCCTCCCAAAGTCAGCAAAATGACAAGCAAAGTGAGCCCATCCATTGGTTGGGTCGGGTCACTTCCGGTGGCAGTTACACTAGTAACGCCCAGGCGCACAGTGGGCCAGAAGACCGGTGGGGGCGGTCAAAATCCCGGACGCGTTTTGGGCTGCAGAATCGCTAAATGGGACTCGAACTGAACGTGTGACCCCACCAATGGAGAGCTCTCCGAACGAGGAATCCATTGGTGGGGTCACACGTTCGGTTCGAGTCCCATTTCGCGATTCTGCAGCTCAAAACGCGTCTAGAATTTCTGCTGCCTCCACCGGTCTTCTGGCGAATCCACTGTGCGTCGTAGAGTGTCTCCCTCTCCGTCGCACTCATGGACCGTCATGGACGTACCGCTGGCGAGGATGAAAGCTTGGCGGGCTTTGATGCGGTTGAGGTACCGTCGGATGTCCGTGTACAGGAAGACGAGGTACAGCAGCCCCAGCCCCACCAGGTAAAGGCTGAACGCCTGTGAACAGGAGCGGAGCCGAGCGGGTGAGGCGAGGCGAGGCATGCACCGCACCGCGGCACCGCGGTACGGCACCGCGCAGCACAGCGCAGCGGCCTCACGCACACAGACGCACAGGTGCATGTGCACGCGCGCACTCGCGCACTCACTGCACCGCTGCAAATATTCTCCGAGTGTCGATGGGTTAATCCGGCCGTCGCACAGTGGGCCCGAGGACACCAGTGGAGGCGGCAAAAACTCTGTACGCGTTTTGAGCTCCAGAGTCGCTACATATTGGGACTCGGACCGAACGTGTGACCCCACCAATGGATTGCTCTCCGAACGAGGAGTCACACTTTCAGTTTGAGTCGTGCTCAGCGACTCTGGAGATGAAAACGCTTCTAGAGTATTGGCCACCTCCACCGGTCTTCTGGCCCACTGTGCGTCGGCCGTGCTAACAGCAGCCTGGTTTTTACCACCCCTTCAAGCTGTTCAATCCTGTTTAAAGTGTGCCAGTGCGCGTGCTCACCTCTGCGAGCACGGGAGACTTGCCCGCCACCAGGCTGCTGATGTAGACCACCACGCCCAGGGTGACGATGAACACGGCGTACACGCAGCTCAGGATTTGCGTCAGGTTACGCCTGTCGTGTCGGAAGAAGGTGGTCACGGTTCAGGGTTCAAATCTCGCACTACAGTAAGTTTTTCGTTCTCTCTTCAAAAGTTTTGGTCCGCTACCTGAGCATGGTCCGCTTCTCGCGGCTGGTGGACGGCGGCGCCGACGGCGAGGGCGAGGCCGCGGCGTGGAGGCCGTGGAGGTCCTCCTCCGGGATGAGGACTCGCTCGGACACGGAGCGGCGCGTCAGCCCGGAGCGCGGCGACAGCCCCAGCGCCATGCCCAGCCCCGCCAGCCCGGACATGTCCGAGGTGCCCGACGACGTGCTGCCCGAGGACCGCTCCAGCACCTGGCCAGGACCAGGGCGTCACAGTGGATTTGCCAGAAGACCGGTGGAGCGGCCAAAATTCTAGACGCGTTTTAAGCTCCAGAGTCGCTAAATGGGACTCGAACGGACCGTGTGACCCCACCAATGGATTGCTCTCCGAACGAGGGATCCATTGGTGGGGTCACACGTTCGGTTCGAGTCCTGTTTAGCGACTCTGGAGCTCAAAACGCGTCTGGAGTTTTTGCCGCCTCCACTGCTCGTCGCACACACTCTTTGCTTACCTGCAGCAGCTCGTCCGCCGGGGCCAGTGCCGGCGCGGAGGCGGCGGCGCGCGGGAGGCCGGCCGCCGCTTCCGCCAGCGTGGGCGTGGACGCGGACACCACCAGGGTGGGCGGGGGCGGCGCGGGGGCGGCGGCGGCGGTGCCGGAAGGGGTCGCGAGGGGCGACGGCTCCAGCACCGCCTCCAGAGCGGCCTCCAGGCCTCCTGGGGGGTCCGGCGAGGCCGGCTCCGAAGTGGTGCCCGCCAGCAGCGCTGTGCCAAGAATCCGTAGGTGTCACTCTTTGCCCTCTGTCTGGCGCGGTGTTCGAACCCGCCGTGTCTCCCTCGCACCGCAACGGGGTGCTCCGGGGGCGCGACAGAGACGCACTTACAGAACCTGGTGTCGCGCCATGGGTCCCGCAGCCTTCGCGGGAAGTGCCCCCGCAAGTCCCGCAGGTCCTTGAAGTCCTTGAGGTCCTTGAACGGCTCTCGCCGCTCCCGGTCCCGGTCGCCGTCACCGAGTCCGCGGAGGCCGCGGTGGCCCGGTCTGTCCCTCATCCCGCATCGCCCGGGACGCCCTGTGGGACACGGGGGTGGAGAGGTCTCAGCCGTCACTCTGTCTCTCTCGCACCCTCGCGGAACGCGCCGTCACACAGTGGGCCAGAAGACCGGTGGAGGCGGCCAAAACTCTAGACGCGTTTTGAGCTCTAGAGTCGCTAAATGGGACCCGAACCGAACGTGTGACCCCACCAATGGATTGCTCTCCGAACGCGGAATCCATTGGTGGGGTCACACGTTTGATTCGAGGCCTGTTTAGCGACTGGAGCTCAAAACGCGTCTAGAGTTTCGTCCGCCTCCACCGGTCTTCTGGCCCACTGTGCGTCAGTGAGACAGCGAACACGAAGAGGCACCACGTGGAAGGGCTTCGGGTACATCCTTGGGCTGCGAATCGCTGTTACGTCCCTTGCACCCTTCTTGCCGTTTCGAACAGTGCCCGTCTCTCTCGCACCCCCGAGAGAGGCGGAGTCGCTCTGCCGCCGCAGCCCAGCCCAGCCCAGCCAAGCGTGGTGACCTCACCGACAGCCAGTGTCCTATCGGTCGTGGAAAAAGCAATTTTCACGGAACACCCACTCAGAGACTCGGACGGGCGGACGGCCGAGACGGGCTCGACAGACAGACGGGCAGACGTCGTTTTCTGTGCACCAATGACTCCCAGCAGGACATCGACTGCCAACATTCGCTTTCAACTTACAAAACCGCGGCGGGCCTTGTGCTGCCGGTGAGGCGTGGCGCGGCGTGGCGGCGGGGCACCACCGGGCACGTGAAGCCCCCGTAATTGTTGCCACGCTTCCCTTTCCGAAGTTGCTTCCGGTGCGGAAACGGCCAGTCCGGCCCGTCAGGCCAGTCGCAGTGAAAGTGCCAATACCGCCACACCCAGTGGCCCAGTGCGCGCACTGTGCGCACAGTGGGCCAGAAGGCCGGTGGGGGCGGCCAAAAGTCTGGAAGCGTTTTGAGCTCCAGAGTCGCTAAGCAGGACTCGAATCGAACGTGTGACCCCACCAATGGATTCCTCGTTCGGAGAGCAGTCCATTGGGTGGGGTCACCACGTTCGATTCGAATCCCATTTAGCGACTCTGGAGCTCAAAACGCGTCTGGGATTTCGACCGCCTCCAGCGGTTTCCTGGCCCTCTGCGCGCCAGGGCGATACTAGTGTAACTGCCACCGGAAGTGACCGGAAGGCGGACGGGACTTTCTCGGCGCGACCCTCACGCGGCGTGGGCAGGCGGGACAGGGCTGAGCCATCCCAACCTCAAAACGCAGCCTTGGCTACCTTGGAGCTGCCATCGGCCATCGGACATCGGCCGCCGTCGCCGGGGATCGAACCTTGGCCCCCGGCTCCGGCTTCCGCCTCAAGAAAAAACCAACGGTCTGCTGCGTTTCTCCGGAGGTGGTTCTGGGGGTGCATCTGAAGGGTATCCCTCAGACTGAGTCGTTTTCGTCACTCTGTCACTCTGCCCAGCCACGCTAGCTTCGCTGCAGGCGTCAATGACCACTGCCTGCGCTTGCTGCGCGCTCTGCGGGTGAGTGCGATCGAAAGTGAAGCAGCTTGAGCCGTGGGCGCCACGCAGAACAACTGCACTGTTCCGCGCCTCGCTGCACCAGCTGCACTGCCCGCGCTCGCTGCACTGTCTCTCTCGCACTCACAGTGCTCACCATGCCGGGGCGAGAGAGACAGAGCGACGAAAGCACTGTTCGGAATCTGCAGTCTGATTGCGCGCAGGGTCTCTGTCTCTCTCGCACCCCTGCGGGGCGCCCCACGAGTGCGAGAGAGACAGAGCGCGGGTGAAACGCACTGCCAGTGGCGTGCCGTCGATGGCGCAGGCAGCGCAGGCAAATGGCTCCAGTCGTCACCACCGGACCAGAAAATACGGCCAGGGCCTTTCAAATTGCTCCCGTCTAGTGTTGTTTCATTTATTTTCTCATGTTTCTCTACTGAAAGATGATGAAAAATTGAGGAAGATTGAGTTAATTTTCTTGGTGACGTGTCTAAATTTTAGTCAACGAGACCTGGCAAGAAGTCGAGCGAAAATGGCTTCAATTTTCAAGAGTGCTCGACGGCGTTTTGAGCTCCAGAGTCGCTAGAAAGGACTCGAACCGGACGTGTGACCCCACCAATGGATTGCTCTCCGAACGAGGAATCCATTGGTGGGGTCACACGTTCGGTTCGGGTCCCATTTGGCGACTCTGGAGCTCAAAACGCGAGCTTTGACGCGTTTCTGTCTAATCCCAGCCACTGCGCGCCGCCGTTGCCAAATAACGACTCGAGTTGCGCCAGCCCAGCCCAGCCAGTGGCGTCGCGGCGACCCTGACTCGAAAGCAGGCTTGCAGGCGCGGGCAGCGCGAGCAACTCCTGGCACTGCTTGTTCCCGGCCAGGATGCCGCCACACTGCTAGTGCCGCCACACTGCAGACTTGCAGTGCAGGCCCCGGCCGCCCCGGCCAGCCAGAGGAAGCGCCAGTTTCCACACAACACGGCCGCTAATCCAGGCCTAGACCGCCCCGGACACGGACAAAACTCGGGGCAAAATGTTCCACCCAGCAGAGAGCGAAAAGGACCTCCTCCCCGCCTGTCTCTCTCGCACCGAGGAAATTCCGCAGCGCGCTCCACCTGTTGCAGCGCCAGTCGCTCTCGTCAATCCGAACCCCTGATGAGAATGGCGAGAAAAGGCAAACGGAAAAAGTATCGAAAATCAGCAACACCCTGCCGGTACTCGAACCCGCGACAGCGCTCTTGTTGCACTTTTCCCGCCTACCGACGCCGCGAACATGGAGCGGGCTGTCTCGGCGAGGAGGCCAGTGTTCCACAAGCAGGCCGCAAAACCTAGCCCGCGGACACGACAAATCGGCTAAAATGTTCCCCCTCGAAGCGAACGGGACCCCCCCGCCTGCTCTCCGCCCCGAGGAATTCCCAGGTTGTTGCAGGAGTCGCCCCTTTTCCCCGGTGTCGAGAACTGTAATAGCGACCCCCTGGGGCTCAAACCGCGTCTAGAGTTTTGTCCGCCTCCACCGCTCTTCTGGCCCACTGAGGGAGAGTGACAAGGAAAGTTGCCGCACTCTAGCCACCGCCAAACAAGCGTAACGGAGACGCCGATATGCAGATGGTTTTTGCGCCCTTCCCGTCGGCGCCGTCGGCAAGCGCAATCGCCGGGTAATTGGAGCGAGTGGGTGCGACTGCTGCGATTGCCTCGGCCTTTGCGTGAGCAATCGTGCAATCGAGCAATCGTGCAATCAAGCAAGCCAAAGCGCTGCACACCGCGCGCAAAATAAAGGCAGTCTCCCACAATGCCACTGGCATTCCCTGCCGAAATGATCGCATTCGAAAAATTGACGGAGTGGGTTTATTGAAAACGAGCCGAAATGGTTACCTCAGATCGGCTCCGGTTGGGAGAGCCAGTTGAAAGTGGTCGAGGAGAAGGTCCTGTGTTCCCCCTGTCGCGAAAATGAAATAAAAATAACCGAAATTGGAACCACTGGCACACACGCGCGCGACCGCACGAAAGAGACGGGTGTCTGCCACCGTCGGCTGCTACACTGCTGAGCCGCCACCGCCTCCACTGGCTGGAGTCTCCCAGCCACTCCAGCCACTCCAGCCAGTGGCCCCGCGCCCCACCACCGGGGGCGCTAGACCGTGCGCCCCAACGGCAGAGGAAGACCGCAAGGATCTCAGGTTCAACATTTTCATTTTCTGACGTTCTGTTCAAATTTTTGGCGGTGACTCTGTTCCGAAACCGAAGAATAATTTCGAAAAACAAGTCGCAGTCATGAGCAATTTTGGGTGTTATAATCGTACGATCAACAATAATATTAATGGCAATAAGTGCAATAACAGTCACGTTTTCGTTCAGATTGGCATAATTGTGCTGTAGCAGCGTTACCTTAATCGAATTAAAGCCCCTTCGGTGACGAAAAAAGTATGTCAGAAGTGGGATTTGAACCCACGCCCACAGACGTGGACCAGAACACTCGACCCGCAGCGCGGGCAAGGAAACCTTGAGTCTGGCGCCTTAGACCGCTCGGCCATCCTGACGTTGTGGTGGGGAGCGTGGTCGGTAGTGGACTGCCCCTCCCTACTTTCTCTGTAGTGCGAATAGCGCCGTACGGGGAAGGGGGGAGGAAAGGACAAGGCGAAGAAGTGACAAAATTTCAATGAAATAAAATTGTTAAACACCTGGTAGTTCCTTCAATTATATGAGTATTTGTCATAATCAAGGATATCATGATCAATGTCCTGCTCCAAATATAAAGGCTTTCTGATTTTTAAGTTTTAGTAAGTTTGTGCACTGCTATATCAATGTGGAAGTGAATGTGAATGTTTTGGATAGAAGTAAACATAACCTGGAAATCTTAGCAGCAGAATGAAGTCTGTTGTGCACTGTCGTGAACTGCCAATTCTGTAGTTTCAAGCCTTATCCGATCGAATGGATTACATTTAATTTCTCGTTGTTCTTCCCTCTTAAAAATGTCAAAGTTTTGGAAATATTTCCTGTTTTTGTCATGGATGTCGTATTTATTGGTTTGCGGTGTACTGGTCTTCTCTCGCGGATTTCTGCTTCGACGGCAAGTTCAGCCAGAGAAGTCTTTCTGCTCTGACAATGTGTACTGTTCTGGATCGGCTGACCCTGGAATCGAATCGGAATGTTCCAGCAGCAGCAGCCCTCTGCAGCATTTGCTCAAGGAAGAGGACTTGTGCTCTCAAGGAAGAGCAAAAGTTATTTTAATTGTGATAGACGCCCTCAAGCACGAATTTGCTTCCTTCCTCGACACGCAAGAGCCAAAGCCGTTTCAAAACAGACTTACTGTCATCACGGATGCTTTGTCCCAGGAACCAGATAATGCTCGATTGTACAAATTCATCGCTGACCCACCTACTACCACCATGCAACGTCTCAAAGGACTAACAACTGGCAGCTTGCCCACTTTCATTGACATGGGATCAAATTTCGCATCAACTGAAATCAACGAAGACAATTTAATTGACCAATTGAGAGGGAAAGGGAAGAAGGCAGTGTTTATGGGGGATGACACCTGGACTGGGTTGTACCCTCGACGATTTGAGCGAGAATTCCCATTCCCCTCCTTTAATGTGTGGGACTTGGACACTGTTGATGAAGGTATCAAATTGCATTTGCAACCAGAAATAGAAAAGAACGATTGGGACTTGTTGATCGCCCATTTCCTAGGAGTGGATCACTGTGGTCATCGTCATGGCCCTTTTCACTCAGAGATGACTCGCAAGCTGGATGAAATGAATACTGTTCTCAGGTACGCATTCTTCTAAGATCAGCAGTATTTTGTCACAATTTATTTTTTCTTTATACACCTTTACTAACTTTTCTTCTTTCTGTTGCAGCAATGTTATGAATACCATGGATAATGAAACAGTTCTGGTTGTCCTTGGGGATCATGGCATGACAAAAACAGGTAAACCACTGTTTGAAAAGAAGTAAAGATTTGCATTTTGTAAAAATAATTTTTTGTGCCCTTTCTTACTGTGCTTTTATTTCCTTTAGGAGATCACGGAGGAGAGAGTGAAGATGAAGTAACAGCTGCCCTTTTTGTTTATTCTCGTTTGGGACTTTTACCATCTAACTGGTCTCCTAAAGGGACCACAGTACGCCAAGTAGATTTGGTTCCAACGCTTGCTACTACGCTCGGAATACCAATCCCATTTTCCAACTTGGGATCTGTTATCATTGACTCCCTACCCAAAACTAACCTTCGACGAGCAGTTCACCCTCTACCAGACTGGAAATATGCCCTTTTGAGTTTGTGGTCCAATATCCGACAAGTTGTGAACTATATTGAAACCTATTCCACTCGTAACAATGAATTTACCTCAGATAAGCTTCAAACTTCATTAAAAATGTATTCATCTATAAATGATCTTGTAAAAAATGTTCTCACTGAAGAAGAATTTGTAGTTATGACTAAGCAAGGTTTTGATTTCCTCTCAGGATTGCGAATCATGTGTGAAAAAGTTTGGGTTCAGTTTGACACTTTTTCTATGACATGGGGTCTGATTTTCACTTTTGTTGTTCTCTTCTGTTTATTCTTACTCATTGAGGCAATGCATGGAGATAAGCTGAATTTTGTAGCATCTGGAGTTCAGCTTACTGTTGTATACATTGGTTTGGTGCTGTCTGCTGTAGTAAGCTATATTTTAAGTTTGTTTAGAATCATATCAAACTTTGAGAAAGCGTACTTTATTTCAACTTTTGGAACATCTTTTCTCGTCCTTGCCTTGATTCTGGCTCAAAATTCAAACACGATTCTTGACAAATGGACTGATACACCGCGTAGCAGGTCCTACTTGGGAATGATTTGGCGCATTGTGTGCCTGTTTTCACTGTGGGCAATGGTGTCCAACAGCTATGTCATGTCGGAAGGGCAGCTCCTGTCTTTCTTTCTGGTGTCGCTCATGTGTACCCTTGTGTACTCATACCGTATTCCAAAGGATGTGGGAGCAAGGCCTGCGAACAAGCCCGCCAAATCCATGTTGGGGTGGCTGAAGCAGCAAATTCATCCCACTCGTCTGCGAATGGTGCTGGTCACCCTGGCTGTGAGTGCTCTACTGAGGGCCACTCATCAGTACTGGAGATGCAGGAGTGAAGAGGCAGGCTGCAAGGGACAAAGCTCCTTCCAGCAATCTGAGCCCAAGAAGAAAGGAGACTTGTCTGCCGACCCTCACTGCTTGATCATGCTAATATGCTCTGGCCTGTGGGTCACATTTACTAGAATGTGGCTTAGGAGTTGCGGCAACTTGAGTGGATATTCAGTGACAGTTCTCTTTGCCCGATACGCTCCCACTGTCATTACTGTCTGTTCTGGAAGCTTTTGGGTTCTGCAAGGTAAGAGCAGGATTTGATTAAGTTAGTTCTTTTCGTGAAAGCTCTTTCCTCCATGTTAGTCCCTTCTGCATTGTTTGAAAAAAATGTTTCAGGGCTTCCAGGGGAAACGCGTGGACGCATGTTCAAGCAGTGGCAGTTGCAAATTTTGCCTTGGACTGTCTATGCATTGTCAGGGCTCACCATCATTAGCCTGGCATTTTGTCCATTGTGTGTTTTCGTTGTACGAAACAAGCGCAAGTCTAAGTCCCTCTCCGTTTCAACAAGCGCAAATCTCATACCTCAGCTGTACAACCAGGTTTGTGCTTCCTTAAACCAATACTGTGTTGTTTGGATGAACTCTGTTACTCATAATTTTCATTTTTCCAGATGAAGCAGATTATTTCTGGTCAAAGCAATGATGCAGATCCGTCTGAGACTCCGGGTGTAAATCCTGTTGTTTATGGCCTTGCAACAGCGTACAGCGCAGCCTTCACTGTGCTGGCAATGGTTTTGGTGCCAGTCATGGGCCTCCTCCTTGGTTCTCGATGGTCCCCAGCCATCATGCTGTGTGCCTGCGCTGCCACACTCTTGCTCCTTCTCATTTCAATGCTGCGCTTTGAAAATGCAGTTGTGTCTGGTACGTACTATGAATCATGTGTTAAGGTAATAAATTTATAATTGTAAGTACTGAAAAAAACTGCTTTTGTGTTCAGTTCAACTTCTGTCAACATCATGGCCCGCTGTGGTGTGTTGGTCTCTGCTGGCACAATACGCATTCTATGGAACGGGACATCAGGCCACCTTTTCCAGCATCCAGTGGGATGCAGCGATGGTGGGCACGAGTGGAAATATAGCCAGCAGCAGATTCTTTCCAGGGCTGCTTGTCATTATCAACACATTCTGCTCTCACATTTTAATGGTGAGTTTATGATTTATTGTGTGTTTGTTGGTGTGAGCTATACTCAGTTAGCATTTATGGTACATTCTACAGCGCAATTTCACAAACCGTCAATACTAAAAAAAATTGCATGTCAATCTCAGGGGCTGCTGCTTCCACTACTGCTGATCGCCCCCCTCACCCTGCGTGTGATGCGGCCCCGATGGGCTGCAGTGGCGGTGGGCGACCAGGAGCTGACCCAGGGTGAGCTCATGCTGTACCAGCGGGAAGATTTGATGTATCGCTCACTCACGACCTTGTCTGCTAGATACATATTCCTGCAGGGGCTTCGGGTGAGTGTCATGAAAATGGAGTTTCAAAGTGGTCTGATTCATTTTATAAAAGTAACTTTCTTTTTTTTCTGTTACAGAGTTTAGCATGCATGTTTTCAGCAACTATTCATGCTCGCCACCTCATGGTTTGGGCTATTTTTGCCCCCAAGTTTATTTTTGAGGCAGTGTCATTGTTTGTGACTCTCCCCTGTGTTTTGTTAGCATATGTATTTGTGGGGAGAATTTCAAAAAGTGTTGATTCATTACTTAACACTTTGGATGCAGGTGGTGAAACCCCTAGTAAATCGTCCCAGAACAAAAGATAATGGTAGCCATTATTAGTGTAAACCAAGATAGTATGGTGCTGCATGTCACACCAATAGTCTGCATTGAATTTGTCCTCTGTTTAGTTTGTTTTAAATTGTGAGTTGTGAATTGATCACTAGTCATGAAGAAGAACTTGAGCACACAGGAAAAGTTGTTAGTTAAGTGCTTAATAAACTTAATTTGCTCTTTTTGTGGGCTCTAATGTGCCCATATGCTCTTTTTTAAGGAGTGGTTTGTTGTATTCGTTGCAGTATCATTTTTCTAATATTTTTGAAATGCTGATATTGATATGCATTTTGTCCAGTATTAGTTCTATTATTTTCAATGAAATGGACTGAAATAAAGCCATCTGTGTTCTAGTCAACCATAATAATATTATACATACATATGTGACTAATTCCTAGGGTTTATGTGGGCACAAAAAGGAACAAGTTCTTTTTCAACAAATAAATCTCAGTGTATTTAATGACAGATACACAGGTGATGAAGTAGTAGCAAATGAAACAAACATCTTTTATTTATTAAGTTTTCACTCTTCTTGTATGAAGTTGTTAGTTTATATGTAATGTTGAAAACATGTGATGTCTTTTTTATTGGTAACCTACTGCACTTTTGCCTACTGTGGAATATCATGTATTTTGATGTCAGTTTGATGTCTATTACCTGTTGTGTTCATAACACTGTGTGTACTGGCATTTTGTGTCCTCCATTATGTAAGGGTCTGTGAGGCCCAAACTCTGAGGTGCTGATTAGGATATGGAAACTGATGCCAATCGCAAGGTGTTAAATTGTTGCATAGCTCCTTATGGCCAATCATCTACGCAGTAATTTTAAAAAATTTCTACCTCATTTGTATACTTTTTCTGGTTTTCCCTAACTTTGTAAGTTTGTAGCCATTTTTACATTGATTTTATAATGGTTGATACAAAAAAAATGTGGCATGAACAATGCTCTTCAAACTTACGAGGGAAAGTTGCTTACCTAGGTTTCGGTTTGACATTGCTGGTTTCGTTGAGGACGCGAGGGAAGACAAGTCGTTGTTGAAGGTTTTGAGACATCCCTGCATAGAAGGCATTGTTAGCTTAAATTTCAACAAACCTAAGATGCAGGATTGCCTCAGAAACCTTCTCTTCCAATTGCTGTGTGTATTGAAGCTGAAGTTGGCTGCTGATAAAAACATTGATAAAAATAAAAAAATCAATTCAAAAATTAATTTGTTTCTTCTACAAAATTTATTTCTCTTATTGTTCATGTACAAGGATTTGAGCTGACCTCATCAAACTACTTTTGACTAGACATATACTCAACCATGGTCATTCATTAAGGGGACCAAGGGAGTTGGACTTCCAAATGTTGCAATAAAAACACTATTGTGCAATAATGTATCCAAGTAAAGTTCTAAATATTCCCTGGATGCCTTCTGATCCTATTTTGAAAACATTATTGTACTGTTACCTTTATTCTATTTTTTCAGTTCCTCTCGCATTGCTTCCCTTAAGACCATTGGTTTAAACCTTAAACAATAAAAACACAAACTCAGAGTTACTGATTATCTTAATTCCACCAATATGGCTGACGGTTGTGGTGGTGGTGGTGCAGTTGTTGTAGCTGATACGCAATAGCAGCCCCTGGGTTCGCCTAAGAAAAAAAAGATGGGACAACGTTTTACAAAAATAATGCTGTGCGTTAAAAATGTTGCAGTCAGAATTCAGAAAATTGTGTTCTGTACCTGTTGGTTGAATTTCTGTTGCTGCCCTCCTGCCTGAGGCTGCTGCTGCTGTTGGGAGGGTGCTGATGGAGACCCTTCAGTCTGCTGGTAGTATGATGGTCTGTAGCTCCTCCGCACTATGGGGCTGGGTGTGGATTTTGCTGCCATAATCTGGTAACATTCAAAAAGGTAATTCAGGTCAGACTCATACAGTTCATTTTATCTCTGTCAGAAACAGACAACTTTTACTGGCAATTGCAGTTTTGTTGGTTGTCATTTTTGGAAACGAAAAACATGTGTGGCAAACAATTTCACTGGGGCACTGCACTTACGTTGGCCAGGAACTCCTTCGTCTTGGCGAGGTAGGCCCCCGGTGCGACGAGGGGCGAGTCGGGGATCCAGAATGTGGGGTCCACTGGGGCGGAGCTCGAGGCCGCTCCAGCTTCAGCCCCCGGCACCAGGCGCAGCGTCTTGGGCGCCGTCGTGAAGACCGAGGCCGGGGCCGCGGGGGCCGCCGACGTGGTCTTGTTGACGGCCGTGCCGTTGGCCACCATCTGGCCGATCTTGGCCCTTACCAAGTCCATCAAGTCGGGGGTGGCGGGCACGGCCGGGGACTCCACTCCTGCAGCTGCGCCGTCCGTCGTCGGGGGCACGGCCTGGAGCACACCAACACCGTGAACAAGGCCGGACCGCCCGACTCACAGTGGGCCAGAAGACCGCGGTCAAAGTCCCGGACGCGCTTTGAGCTCCAGAGTCGCTAAATGGGACTTGAACGGAACGTGTGACCCCACCAATGGATTGCTCTCGGAACGAGGAATGCATTGGTCGGGTCACACTTTCGGTTCGAGCCACATTTAGCGACTCTGGAGCTAAGCGTCTACAGTTGCACTGGAAACATGCTCGGCGAAAGTGCTGACGGGGCTGACCATGGAGGTGGCGATGTCCTTCTCCATGTCGGTGAGCATGTCGAACACCTGCCCCAGGAGCACCACCTTCTGGCGCACGGGCTCCACGGCGGGGGGCGGCTTGACGGTGGTGGCCGCGGCGCCGGCGGCGGGCTTGGCCCACATGGCGGCGTAGGGCGACACGGGCTTCTTGGGGGCGGCGGCGGCGGCCGCGGCAGCGTTGGCGGCGTCGGCAGCCTGCGGGGAACGGCATGAATGAAACGAAACGTGCTGCTCGCGCTGGAGCCTGGACCACGCTAAGACAGTGTCCAGCGTACCTTCTGGGCGACGGCGAGGTCGCTGACGGCGTCCACCATGCCGTTCTTGAGCTCGGCGAGCTGGCCGATGATGGTGTCCACCACCTTGTCCTTGGCGTCGGCCACCAGGGCCGCGGAGTCCACCAGGGCCGCACGCTTGGCTGCGGGCAAGGCGGAAGGGAGGGTCAGCCTGGCGGCGCCGCCGGCGAAGCCGTTTACGAGCAGCGAAAACGACGCGCCGGCCTGTCTCTCTCGCACGCCTAAGGTGCCCTCCGGGACGCCCCAGGAGTGCGACAAAGGCAGAGCGGCGCTAGCACACTGGCGCACTCACCCCTGACTGCGGAGACCTCGTCCTCGGGGACGTCCTGCGCGCCGGAGGCTTCCAGCGAGTCCAGCAGCCTCTGCAGCGTGGCGGCCAGCTCCGCGTTGACGGCGGCGGGGTCGGCGGTCACGGGCTCCTCCACGGGGGCCGGGGTCGTGACGGCGAGCCCGGCGAACAGGTCGCTCAGGAACTTGGCCTTCTTGGAGATGAACACGCCGGGGTCCACCGCCGGCGCGGCGAAGGGCGATAGGGCGAGGCCGGGGTACGCTGACGGGGCCACGGCGGGGGCGGTGGCGTTGGCGACGGTCTTGTTGATGTTCAGGGCCTTGAACAGGTCCGCGAGGAAGGCCGGGGGTGGCGGCTTTGTGACGGCGGGGGCGGCGGGGGCGGCGAACGGACTGAGCAGGGCGCGCTCGGACAGGCCGCTGTAGGCCGCGGGGGCGGCTCCGTACACGGGGGCGGCGGGGGCGGCAGGCAGCCCACCCGGGAACAGGCTGTTGAGGAGGCTGGCCTTCATGTCGATGAACGCGGACGGGTCGACGACGGGGGGCATGAAGGTGGGCTTGGCCGGCAGGAAGGGCTTCAGCTTGAGGAAGGGCGACATCGGCGAGCCCACGCCGGCGGCGGGGTCGTCACCGAGACCCACCAGCGATCGGCCCATCACGCCTGGAGACAACGCGGAGTCAAACCCTGACTCGACTTGGAGCGCCGCGCCGCACAGTGGGCCAGAAGACCGGTGGAGGCGGCCAAAGCTCTGGACGCGTTTTGAGCTCCAGAGTCGCTAAGCAGGACTCGAACCGAACGTGTGATCCCACCAGTGGATTCCTCGTTCGGAGAGCAATCCATTGGTGGGGTCACACGTTCGTTTCGAGTCCCATTCAGCGACTCTGGAGCTCAAAACGCGTCTCGGACTTTGACCCTTGGCCCACTGTGCGCCGACCACGCCAGGGACTCACCAGGCTTGCCGACGTACGCGGCCCAGGGGGCGGCGGCTGCTCCGGGGGCGGGGGGCGGCTTGGCGGCGGCCAGGGCGGCGCCCAGGGCGAGCACGGCGACGACGGCCTTCATGGCGGAGGCGGGCGACGAGAGTGTGACGCTGCGGCGGGGTGGCCGCGTTTATAGGGCCGTCGGGGTGCGGGCTGCGGGGTGCAGGCTTCATTAACGGCACAGGTGTTGGACGCGTCGCCGGCGGCTCAAGCACTCTCCCTCTCTCTCCCTCGCACCGACGGCGCGGTCCGGAAGGGTGCGAGAGAGGCGGTGCGGCTCGCGGACAGGGGCAGGACGGGCTGTGTCGTGTAGGGGTCAAAGTGTCCCGCAAATTTCGCCTCAGATGGGCGATGGGCCAACTCACAAAGCCTTATGAAAAACTCGAGGGGGCAACCACATGGGATGTTTGGGTTGGGACACAAGATTTCTTAAGGCTAAAGATTTCGTCAGATTTCGCAAGATTTTAACCGATATTCCGCCCAAAATTAGCTTGTTTTTGGCCTTTTTTGGGGCAAGATTTCAGATTTCCCAGAGATTTCTAGCTCTAAGGGGACACAATAGAGTGGTTGCCCCCTCGGAAAAACTGTAGACACAACCTGGGTTTTGAACTGGAAAAAAAAATCTCCACGATGCTCCAGTGGTCAAAAGGAATTCCGAACCTCAGCCTTCCTGGTAACCAATTTTGAAACTTTGCCTGGTAGGGAGACTGATGTTGTCTACCCTTCGGAGACTCGTGCAATTTTTTTCTTTTTCCTATTTATGTAGTAGTAGTGACGCTCCGAAAGGCCGGAAGGTGCACCGCTGCGTTTCGATTCCGTTTTGGGTGAGTAATTAATGGGCAGGTGTTTCGGGTGGAAGGCCCTGCAGTGCACTGGTCGGCCAACAACCCGCGTCCATTGCCATCCATCCGGCATCTCCGGCCCGACGTATCTTCGGCCGGCCACGCCACTGCTTTATTTTTTATATTTTTTTGCTGTGCTGAATTTGTCGGTATTTGTGTGTGACCTATTTCTCTCTTGAAAAAAAAAATATAATTATTGGAACTCAAATCTCTCGAGTGTTTCTCATGTGGGAGTGTGTTTTTGTGACAGAAATTGGTCAAATCGTAAAAGTCGTTTAACTCTTTTATTAAACTACAAGATGATGTACAAATACAATAAATAAAGGCAATCACGTGAATGTGATTGTTTGTCACTGTGAGGCGGTGGAGCTTGCCCTGTAATGGAGTGACGAATGAATGTCGAAACGCAATGTCAGCGACCACTTAATACAACAGCTTTGGCCAGAAGGTCTAGGCTAGCGCGGCTTGCAGCCCGCTGCCGCCGCACAGTGGGCCAGAAGACCGGTGGAGGCGGCCAAAACTCTAGACGCGTTTTGAGCTCCAGAGTCACTAAATGGGACTCGAACCGAACGTGTGACCCCACCAATGGATTGCTCTTCGAACGAGGAATCCATTGGTGGGGTCACACGTTCGGTTCGAGGCCCGTTTAGCGACTCTGGAGCTCAAAACGCGTCTAGAGTTTCGGCATGGTGCGACCGTCCGTTGACACGGCGGTACGCGGCGGCACGGCACCACGCACACAGGAACGGAACCAGACAGCCACCTGCGCGCCGAAGTCAATCAAGGAACGCCATCCGAACGGCACGCCCCGGCGACATCCACTGATAAAAACACTCTTCATATTCCGCGCTAAAGTTCTAAATTTGACCGCTTCACCGCAAGGACGCACCAGAATACTTTAAGAAACGAATGAAAATGATGAAAAAGCCGCGAACGCGCGCGGAATGGTTCGTGTGACAATTAAAAATAATGACTCGAGTACGAAGAACGCTAAAAAGGCTGCCCGCGAGGTGTCGTGGAGGGACGCTTTGGCGCGGATTTCAAATTCTGTAGCTGGAGCCGTCGCTCTGGGGCGCCACCCCTGCCACGCTGGCAGCCTGCGACTGCCCGGCGGCGCGGGGCCGGTTGTAGTTGTACAGGACGTAGCCGGGCCTGTTGAGGACGGCGTAGGCCTGCGAGTAGGCCGCGCTGCTGGAGGCGCCGGAGGCCGGCTTGTACGCGTTGTAGGCCGGCTTGTAGGGGCTGTACGCCGCCGACGGCTTGCTGGACTGCTGGTAGTTGATGCTGCTCAGGCCGTTCTGGTAGTTGTAGGCGGCGTTCAGGCCCCCGCCCGTCGGACGGCTCGCCTGGTAGAACTGCTCACGGCCTCGCTGGAACGTCTGGATGCCCGTGGTGAAGGCCTTGGACACGGCCTGTAGCGTCGAGATCGGGATCTGGAAGATGCTCTCCACGACCTCGCCGTTCTGCCTCCGAACGCGCCGATGGCTGTCCGCGCCGTCCGCGCCCCGCACCTAGAACCAGCACACTTGGACAACGCGAGGCAAGAGCAACGGCACTGGCAACGCACAGTGGGCCAGAAGACCGGTGGAGGAGGTCGAAATCCCGGACCCGCTTTGAGCTCCAGAGTCGCTAAATGGGACTCGAACCGAACGTGTGACCCTACCAATGGATTGCTCTCCGGACGAGGAATCCATTGGTGGGGTCACACGCTCGGTTCGCGTCCTGTTTAACGACTCTGGAGCTCAACACGCGTCTAGAGTTTTGGCCGCCAGCGCCGGCCTTCTGGTCCACTGTGCATGGCTCGGCCCGTGTGACGACACGGCCGAGCGGACCGCCAATTGTGTCGAAAAAAGACGGCCCCTTGAGCAAACCGCCATTTAGGGGCGGTTCGGGTCGTCCGCATGCGAAGGAGAAGCGGTGGGCGGGGTGGGCCTGCCTCTCGGTCTCTCTCGCACCCCTCGTCGCAACGCCCCGTGAGTGCGACAGAGGCAGCGCGACGAGGCGCGGCAATCCCCCACCACGCCACGAGAGAGAGAGAGAGAGAGAGAGAGAGAGAGAGAGAGAGAGAGAAGGGGGGGGGGTCAAAGGCGAGTTGTACTTGCCTCCGCAGCCACCAGGTCGCCGTCGTCCGGGCCGGGGTGCACGGGGGCGGCCCGCACGGCCTGCACGCACAGGCAGGTCATGGCGACGAGTAGGACGAGCCCGGGGAGCACGCTGCGTGGGGCCTGGAAGCAGTGGAGCAGTCAGCACTCGAACATTGCCTCCTGCAAGACCTCCGGGTAGGCAATACCCATACGATCATGTGTGGTCTAGCCCTTAATGGTAATGATGTTGGGTAGGCAACCCGAGTGCAGCCCTGTTCGACGGGACTGCCTACCCGGCCTCGTAAGGCGCCATGCCGCCTGGGTGAGGCAACCAACAAGAAGTGTTCTAGCGGAACCCCACTAGCGGAACAAACATTTTCCTCGTTAAGAACAAAAACTGAGGAAATCGCAAGAAAAATTGAAACTGCAAATGCCAGGCGTTTGTATTTGCTTGGTTGACACTTTATGTCAATAAAGACACTTTTCAAAACTCCTTCCCCTGCGTGTCACTCACTCACTCACTCACTCACTCACTCACTTACTCACTCACTCACTCACTCACTCACTCACTCACTCACTCACTCACTCACTCACTCACTCACTCACTCACTCACTCACTCACTCACTCACTCACTCACTCACTCACTCACCCACTCACTCACCCACTCACTCACTCACTCACTCACTCACCCACTCACCCACTCACTCACTCACTCACTCACTCACTCACCCACTCACTCACCCACTCACTCACTCACTCACTCACTCACTCACTCACTCACTCACTCACTCACTCACTCACTCACTCACTCACTCACTCACTCACTCACTCACTCACTCACTCACTCACCCACTCACTCACTCACTCACCATGTCGTCGCTGCTGCACTGCGGGTGCGTCGCTCTACGACTGCAGACTTGCCGGAGAAACGGCACTGGAGAAAGGCAAGGCGGGGCGGGGCGCGTGGGAGTGAGTCCGGCTGGTCCGGCCAGTGCGGTCACTGGGGCGCTGGAGCTCGGGGAAAGGAAACCACTGTAAGCGCGCTGGAGTCGCTGGAGTCGCTGGACACTGGGGCTGGAGTCGCTGGACACTGGGGCTGGAGTCGCTGGACACTGGGGCTGGAGTCGCTGGACACTGGGGCAGGAGTCGCTGGAGTCGCTGGACACTGGGGCTGGAGTCGCTGGACGCGCTGCGATGCTGGGCGCTGTTCTGCCGGCAATGAGGTTCGCTCAGTGCGGGCGGCCAGTTTCATAACCACACACACACACACGCTCACGCACACATCCGCGCGCGCAGAATCGCATCGCTGGATTAGCAGGGGGAGAGACAAAAGCGGTGTGTGTGTGTGAAATACGTGAAAAAAACGGGGGAAGGGGGAGACGCGGCGAGGTGGGGGGGCCGGTGCAAAAAAAAACACAGGCAAACGAGGTAAACACGAAGGATGCTCCCACTACAGCCACTTCCTAGCGGGACGCGGCGTGGCGTGAGGCGTGCGACGGGCTGGCGTAGGTCAGGGATCAGAGTCGTTTTGGTCGCTCTGTCTCTCTCGCACTCATGGGGCGTCCCGTAGAGGTGCGAGACACTGGCGACTCTCACAGTGGGTCAGAAGACCGGCGGAGGCGGCCAAAACTCTAGACACGTTTTGAGCTCCAGAGTCGTTGTATGGGACTCGAACCGAACGTGTGACCCCACCAATGGATTCCTCGTTCGGAGAGCAATCCATTGGTGGGGTCACACGCTCGGTTCGAGTCCCATTTAGCGACTCTGGAGCTCAAAACGCGTCTGGAGTTTTGGCCGCCTCCACCGGTCTTCTGGCCCACTGTGTACCGCCAAACCAAGGGCCGGAAGGCCGGAACTAGATGTCCCCTAATTACCCGGGCACTTGACGCACGCGGCCACGCCTGCCACCTTCCGTGTTCCGAGACGCGCCGTCCTAGACGGAGTCCTAGACGGAGTCCTAGACGGAGTCCTAGACGGAGTCCCAGACGCGACAAGACGAGCTAGGCGAGGACGGCGAATCCACGGCCGCCCGACCCAGCGCCATCTGCCGGTGGGATCTGCAAACCTAATCGACGCCTTAAGTCACCAGGGGCGTCTTAAGGACATGCCTAATCAATTTTCGCTTATGTGCGGCGCGCGATGCTGGTCGCGGGGAGGCGCCAAGGAGGGCCTTCCAGGCACGAAAAACGGCGGGAGACGAGTCGGCGCACAGTGGGCCGGAAGACCAGCGGAGCCGGCCAAAACTCTAGACGCGTTTTGAGCTCCAGAGTTGCTTTACAGGACTCGAACCTAGCGTGCAATCCCACCAATGGATTCCTCTTTCGGAGAGCAATCCATTGGTGGGGTCACACGTTCGGTTCGAGTCCCGTTTAGCGACTCTGGAGCTCAAAACGCGTCTAGAGTTTTGGCCGCCTCCACCGGTCTTCCGGTCCTCCGTGCGTCGTTTTGTCGGCACGGCCCTGTGCCTGCGCCTTGCGTGGCACGCCGTGCACCCAAGGGCGCCAGCTGACGAGACAGCGGCAAGGACATTTTGGCAGGTTTATCTCATTGCATCGCGGTTCGTTTTTGTTTTTGACTACCAGCCTTGGCGTAACCGAGTGGGCAAAATTGAAACAATCAGTTGATCAATAAGAATGCTAAGTGCCCGTTCTAAATTTCCGATGTTTTTTTTTTTTTTTTTGCAATGGCTTGCGCCGATCGGTGACCGCACCATCGGGCTGGCCTAGCTTTGGTGCGTGAGTGGGCCGCGGTGCGTGCCGCGATCACACTCACACAAGGAAAGGGGGGAGCCGCCACACAGTGGGCCAGAAGACCGGGGGAGGCGGTCAAAACTCCAGACGCGTTTTGAGCTCCAGAGTCGCTAAATGGGACACGAACCGAACGTGTGACCCCACCAATGGATTGCTCTCCGAACGAGGAATCCATTGGTGGGGTCACACGTCCGGTTCGAGTCCCATGTAGCGACTCTGGATCTCAAAATGCGTCTAGGGTTTTGGCCGCCTCCACCGGTCTTCTGGCCCACTGTGAGTGCACCCCGTGCCACCGGCGACGCGCGCACTTGCTGACCCACTTCGATATGCATCTGGCTATCGCTGCTCTGGCTTCGCTGGTTTCCCGGACCGCGCCGTGTTCACAGGATGAGCTCCGCCGTGATCCCGCGCGTTAATCTGCATCCCAAATTAAACGCATCGGTTCGCACTTTCGCTGCTGACTGACAATCGCTGTCTCTCTCGCACGCATCCGTGCCGCCCTGCGAGTGCGAGAGAGACGGAGTGACGAAAACGACCGCCGCGCCGCCACGCCGACGCGCCCACGCCGCTCCAGCTTTCGTCGCTCCGTCTCTTTCGCGCCGCGTGCTGGTGCGCGAGAGAGACAGCAACGTGAGACCGCGGACTGATTCCGAACACGGCTCTCGTCGCTCTGTCTCTCTCGCACTCATGGGGTGTCCCATAGGGGTGCGAGAGAGACAGAGCGACGAAGCGGTGTTCGGAATGAGCCTGCTGGTGTCGCGGCGTCACGGCGGACTGCGTCGGAAAGACGCGGCGGCGTGGCCAGAGCGTGGCCGGGCGCGGCACAACGGCCACTGGCGGCCACGGTGTCAAGGACGCAGGGGAGGACGCGGCCACGCGGCCACCGACGGGCCGGAGGGGCCCGTCTGGGCAGGCCGACGACCGCCATCCCCTTCGGCCTGGCCCTCCTGGAGCCCTTCCTGAGGCTCGAACCGAACGTGTGACCCCACCAATGGAGTCCTCGTTCGGAGAGCAATCCATTGGTGGGGTCACACGTTCGGCTCGAGTCCCATTTAGCGACTCTGGAGCTCAGAGCGCGTCCGGGATTCTGACCGCCTCCACCGGTCTTCTGGCCCACTGTGTGGCGGCGTGGCTTGCCCGATTCGCGGATTTGCCGCCGTTTGGGAATGAGGGCAAGGTCGCTGCCGGCGCCATGGCCGCCATGGCGTTCCGCGACGACGCCGAGCGCCGTGCGTGCTCGCGGCGTGTGTGACAGCACGGAGCCCTCTCGCTGTCTCTCTCGCACTCATGGGGCGCCCCGTGCAAGTGGGAGCGAGACAGAGTCTGCAGCGCGCCCATGACAGGCACTGCAGGCACCAATGCCACGCCAAGGCCGAGACTGCCCCGATCATGATGCGATACGAGTTCCAAAACGGACGCAGCTCACGTTACAATATTTTTTTGAGTGCTTGTAAGATCGAAACACCAACTTAAAACCCAACCATTCCCAATAGACCCTTTCAGTCTTCGCCGAGTGAAGAACAAAAGTAGTCAAAAAGCCAGGAACCAGTAGGAACGTTCCTAGTGGTTCCTGGATTTTTGAGTACTTTTGTTCTTCACTCGGCGAAGACTGAAAGGGTCTATTTTTCTTTAATTTTATTTTTAACATCTAGTTGACCCTTGATTTAGATCAGGCACATAAATATTTGGACTATTTACTGGCTGCAGCCTGCGATCTTTACTTGGAACGTGCCTTACGGTTTAAACTTTCATTTGCCGGGCTTCTTCCTTTCTGTACCGCGCTCCAGTGCCCTACAGTGCGCCAGCGTCCGGTCCGCGGTCGAAAAATGGCGCCACACGACTGCCAACCTTCCCCCACGCGCTGAACTGCGAATAACGTGATCAAAACAAAACGCCCGCTATCCGCACGGCGAAGACTCGTCGTTCATCCCGGCGCGACGTCTGGTTGTCAAAATATCGCTGGAAATTGGTCTGTTCTCTCTTGAACTGAAGAAACCGACGTTCTTGAGCGTGTGCGAAGCATCGCCGGCCCCGAAAAAACGCTCCGTCGACCCGCGGGTGCGTTGCAGTGCACTGTGAGGCCGCTCCTCTACCATAACCTTCTGCTTGTTGTGGGCCTGAAACTCCAAGTGAGGTTGCAAGAGAGTTGCAAGAGATGGATATCGAAATTAGGAACTTGCGCTCTCTCCTTACAGTAGCGAGGAATGAAATCAACAATCTGAGGTACGGAATCGGATGTGGTTATGGTTTGATAAGAGGCATTGTCTTGCTTTGCTGGGGATGATAGTGTTACGATAATGTTTTGGTAATGTACTCTCCACAGGCAACAAATTCGCTCTCTCAACCATGTCCACGAGAAGGAAGTTGACGAAGTCAAGCAAATGGTCAGGGACTGGCGCTGTGCAGGCTGTCTTCAGAGAGCGGCTGCAGAGGCTGACAGTGGTCTGGCCTATGGCTTGGGTGGTGCCGCATCTAGCATTGCCTGTGTCAATAGTAATCAAAGAGGCGATTCAAATGAGGTAAACGCTTTAGAAATGGCACCTATTGGTATTGTCAACTCCTGGTTTCCCGAGAAACGTGGCACTCCTCGTCAACCTGGAGTGAGCGGAAGTGCCAGAGGAAAGCTGACCCTGTACAATACAGTTTTTACAAATCCTGAGCATGCACTTGAAGGTCTTGAAGAATACTCACATATGTGGTATGCATTCTTTTATGTGTTTCAAATGCTGTAATATTTTTAGTTGAAAGAAACAGTGCCATGTTTGTCATTTTATTGTTTCAGGATCCTCTTCCACTTCCACAAAAACGACTCTACACATGTGAGGGCTAAAGTAGCACCCCCTCGTCTGAATGGTGCTCGCACTGGGGTGTTTGCCACTCGGTCACCTCACAGACCCTGCCCAATTGGGCTCTCCTTGGTCCAGATTGATAAAGTAGAAGGTAAAATTCCAAATATTTTTCACATCTAGACAAAACATATTCCTTCTTGAACTTATTCCCATGTACATTTGCTTTGCAGGAGGGGTGGTGTTTTTTTCTGGAGTGGATATGGTTGACGGGACACCAGTGCTTGATATCAAGCCTTACATACCTCAGTACGATGACCCATTAGACTGCCAGCATCCACTATTGAAGTATGAATCACCCCAGTGGCAACACCAGTATTACCTCAACGAACTTAATTCTAATTTACCACTATGTGTTGCAGTGAAAATATGGAATCCCGACTCATTGTTGATGGGCGAGAGTCTGATGATGAAGACCTCAATCCTGCTATTCTCTCTCTTGACCTCACTCCCCGACGTGAGTCGCTTGCACCCATTGCTAGATCACCAGTTAGGGATGCACTGTTAATGGCAACACATTCTCCAGTCCGTGAGGCCTCCTTGATGGGCATGAGGGAGGCCCCTGATGGCGAGGAAGGAACATCTCCAGTCCTGGGCCGACCACTCGTATCTCCAGCTGTGTCTCCAGGACCGTCCGCAAGCCTCATTCGGCCTCAGGTATGTCCATGGTTTTGAAAAAAACTCAAATTAGTGACAAAAGTTCACTTATTTTCTTTTTCTTTTGTCTAGGTGCGGGTACCAGCTTGGATTGCACAACCTCCGGTTTCAAGGCTTGAGGTAAAGTTTAATGATACTGCAGTTGAGCAGCTCTCGACCATACAAACAGAGCGAAATGAGAGTGTGGAGGAAGCAAAGGTTGCGATTCAGAGTGTATTGCAGGAAGATCCTCGGTCAGTTTATTTAAGACAGAGATGGAACAACCAGTTTTACACATTCCTCATAGCAGGGCTTCATGTTAGTTGTCGCTTTGATGATAATGGCTCTGTAGTAACTGTTTTTCGGATAACAGCTGCCAATAAAAATTGTGAGTGTGGCTTACCTGAGTGGCAATGTACAATTCATAATGGTTCATCCTAGGACTCAGAGTCTTGAATCGTTTTCTCGTCTCTTAGGTTGAATTATGATGGGTTTTAACAAAAGACATGACAAAGTGAGAAGTCAGTAATATTACAATAGTCTTTATTTCGTGTATGTAGGCTATTGTAATACCAATGTCCTAAGATTTTAAAATTGTGTTACTTAAACACATTTCTACCTCTTTGATCCTGTATAAATTTCTCTTGATTTTAATCTTAGTCTTATTTAATACTTGTTAGTATTTATATAAATATTATAATCTGTTCAACCCAATAACTTTTATACCAAAATATTTTTGATGTCTGGTTTTTTTGTGGGTTGTTGTCAGTGTTGTGTCCACTGATTTATTGTGGAATACAGAGAAAATGGCATCTCTTCTTATTGTGTTAAATTTGAGAAGATATTAATGTTGGGAGTGCTTATGAACCAGTAAGAGTCATTTTAGCAGGGCTGTGATAGTGTTGGTTATTGGATTTACTTGTGAAACTTCTGGACAAAGTTTTTTAAGAAATGCTTTTCTTTTGGTCCTTACTCAGTTTAGGGTAATGTGATTGCTAATATCACATTTTGTCATTCATTTTGTAGTATTTCTTCTGCTTAATTTTTTGTGTCTAGAATTTTTTTTTTTAATGCATGCTTCTTAAGACATTGGGAGATTTAATTTTACTTACTACATGGTAAATTTCTTAAAAATATCTGTGATATGTTGATATTGATTTTAATATCCAGAATGATCTCTTTTCTCAATTGTATAGTTCTAGAGACAGAGTTCCTCAATTTGCCAAAATACTGAGAAAGCAGTAGCACTATGTCAAATGTACAACAACATTTTCACAGTGTTCTTCCACAGTCGTGTGTCTGTCCTTTTCCCACGTGTTCTGTTTGATTAATGACATGTAGATACCTTTGTCAACCTTCCTATCAAGCACTTATCTTTTTTGTATTTTTCTCACTTGCACACCTTATGATAATCAAAGTGTGACAGGAAGCATCACCGTGTTTCAAATTTTATCTTACTAAGTGCCCTGTTTTTCGTCTAACTGAATAATTGAATGAAATAAATTATTTCCCAGATTGAGCCCAGGCTGATCTTTGCTCCTTGTCCAAATGTCGTTGTTGTGTGACACTCCTGAAAATAAAAAATCCGGCACCTCAACTTTTTTCTCTTTTTCTTCTTTGAACTAGGGTCAGGGCGGGGAAAAACTGGACAGGGAAAGAACTGGACACCCCACATTTTACTTCAAATGCCGTATGTACTGGCCTGACAACTGTCGTGTAATGAACCGCTGATGCCACGGAACAACTTTTGATAGTTGTTACTCCTGTGCCTACGGTATTTGAAGTAAAATATGGGGTGTCCAGTTCTTCCCCTGTCCAGTTCTTCCCCGCCCTGACCCTAATGAACTTGAGGTACCGTCAACTGATAACGACCGAACCTGCAGAATCATCTCCGCCGCGGCACGGCGGCGGCACCCAGCAGGTGTTCCGCGCGTTCCCGACCCACGACAATCTGGCCGAACCAATGACACCCCGCGGCCCGCGGCACGAGTGCGCCTTATCACTAAGCAGGCTGCTGGCCGATCAACTCGAGTCCAAGCCGCCAGTCGTCGCCGAGTCCTTCCTGAGTCTGCCTCTAGTCATGGCGCACCGCGCGAGCATCGCCGTCGCCCTCGTGCTGGCCGCCGTGCTGGCCGCCGTGCTGGCCGCCGCGGAGGCCAAGGTGGTCTCCAAGCTGCGCGGCAACGGTGAGGCACCGGGAGCTCGCGGCACGTGGCCGACGACGAGTAGAGCCCCGCCGAGGCGAAGGTCCTCGCCAGGCAGACGCACAGTGGGCCAGCAGACCGGTGCAGGCGCTCAAAATTCTAGAGCTCCAGCGTCGCTGAATGGGACTCGGACTGAACGTGTGACCCCACCAATGGATTGCTCTCGAAACGAGGAATCTATCGGTGGGGTCACACGTTCGGTTCGAGTCCTGTTTAGCGACTTCAGAGCTCAAAACGCGTCTAGAGTTGTGGCCGCCTCCACCGGTCTTCTAGCCCACTGTGCAACACTGCCCCAGGTGACACCGACACGGCCAGGTCGCGTCCTTCGTCCTGGCCGCCGGGCCGCTGTCCTCTACACGGGGCAAGGGCAAGGCCGGCAAGGAGGGAACATGCGGTGGACCGAAAGGACGCAAGGGCGCCCAGCAGCCCAGCCTAGCAGTGTGTCGCGTGCGACCCAGCTGCGGACAGGAGCGAGCCGGGCCTTGGCGGCCTGGCGGCTCTTTATCGTGCCGTTTATTGCTCTATCGGTCATCGGCGGTCACCGTGTCTGAGGGCCGCAGGCAGCCGCAGCACGGTGGGCCAGAAGACCGGTGGAGGCGGCCAAAACTCCAGACGCGTTTTGAGCTCCAGAGTCGCTAAACAGGACTCGAACCGAACGTGTGACCCCACCAATGGATTGCTCTCCGAACGAGGAATCCATTGGTGGGGTCACACGTTCGGTTCGAGTCCTGTTTAGTGACTCTGGAGCTCAAAACGCGTCTACAGTTTTGGCCGCCTCCAGCGGTCTTCTGGCCCACTGTGTGGCGCCGGAGCGCTGGACGGTCCGGCGGACGCAGACTCCGTGCCTGGAGCGCTACGCCAGCGCCACGCGAGGGCCGAGTCCGTACAGTGTCACAGACAGTCACAGACAGTCACAGCCACAATGTCCACCGTGTCCGCAGCGAACCCCGTGCTGGCCTGCTACGTGGGCACCTGGGCCAACTACCGCCAGGGCAACGGCGCCTTCAAGATCGAGGACGTGGACGCCAAGCTGTGCACCCACCTGCTGTACGCCTTCGTGGGCATCACCGAGGACGGCGACGTCAAGAGCCTGGACCCCTGGCTCGACCTGCCCAGCGGACTGAGTGCGTCTCTCTCTTTGTCTCTGTCTGCCGCACAGTGGGCCAGAAGACCGGTGAGAGTTTTGGCCGCCGCCACCGGTCTTCTGGCCCACTGTGTGCCGCACCGCCGGCGTCGGCGACGACAAAGAAAACGCGCGCGCTCGTCAATTAATTTGCACTCGCGTCCCTGCAGATGGTTTCCAGCGCTTCGTGGACCTGAAGAAGGTCAACCCGGCGGCCAAGGTGCTCGTCAGCATCGGCGGCTGGAACGAGGGCTCGGCCAAGTACTCCCAAGTAAGCGGCTCACAGCGGATTTGCCAGAAGACCGGCACCGGCGGCCGAAACTCTAGACGCGTTTTGAGCTCCAGAGTCGCGAAACAGGACTCGAACCGAACGTGTGACCCCACCAATGGATTCCTCGACCGGAGAGCAAGCAATTTGGTGGGGTCACACGTTCGGTTTGAGTCCCGTTTAGCGACTCTGGAGCTGAAAACGCGTCCGGGGTTCTGCCCGCTTCCACCGGTCTTCTGGCAAATCCACTGCGACGGCGAAGCTGCGTAGCTAATCAGTCGCAAACACGAGGCAAACACTTCCGCCCTTCGAAATCTCGCTTTCGCGTTCTGACGCACTTTCCTTGCAGCCTTTCTTCCGGAAGAACTCCTCCTGGAGATAAGCATGCGCCTTCGTGCGTCAGTGGCGGATCCAGAGTTGGCCCTCCGGGGGGGGGGGAAGGTAGCATTTTGACTACTTTCATGGGCAAAATATGACTGATGGCTTACCTTTCAAGCGGCTTCCTATCCGTGCGTCGTGCCCATTGCTTTCCCCGCTTGTTCCCGCAGGTCGCCAACAGCCCCAAGCTGCGGGAGACGTTCGCCAAGAACGCCGTCAAGTTCGTGCAGCAGTACGGCTTCGACGGCATGGACCTGGACTGGGAGTACCCGGGCCTGCGCGGCGGCGCCGCCTCGGACAAGGTGAGGGCGATGCACAGTGGGCCAGAAGACCGGCGGAGGCGGTCGAAATCCCGAAAGCGTTTTGAGCGCCAGAGTCGCTTAACAGGGTTCGTACCGAACTTGTGACCGCACCAATAGATTGCTCTCCGAACGAGGAATCCATTGGTGGGGTCACACGTTCGGTTCGACGCCCATTTAGCGACTCTGGAGCTCAAAACGCGGCTGGAGTTTTGGGTGCCTCCACCCTTTTCTGGCCGACTGTACCACGGGCAGGACTGATTGTACCATGCAACCGCTGTCCCAGGCTGCCCTCGTGGAGCTGCTCAAGGTGATGCACGCCAAGTTCTCCGCCAACGGGCTGCTGCTGACGGCCGCCGTGTCCGTCGGCCAGGACAAGCTGGACGCCAGCTACGACGTGCCCGGCCTCATGAAGTACGTCGCCGTCGAACCGACGGACGCGTTTTGAGCTCCATAGTCACTAAATGGGACTCGAACCGATCGTGTGACCCCCACCAATGGATTGCTCTCAGAACGAGGAATCCATTGGTGGGGTCACACGCTCGGTTCGAGTCCTGTTTAGCGACTCTGGAGCTCAAACCGCATCTATAGTTTTGGCCTCCGGCGCCGTTCTTCTGGCCCACTGTGGAAGGGCGACCAACCTCTGCCTGCCCTCCAGGCAACATCTGGGCTTTGCTGTCGAGGCGTTGCCTAGCGGGCTGAGGTTGGCCACCCTTTCGACTGCGGCGCATGGCGGGACTTTGGCCAACTAGTGGCGTGCCACCAGGTACCTGGACCTGGTCTTCCTGATGACCTACGACCTCCGCGCGTCCTGGGACGGCAAGACCGGCATGAACGCGGCGACGCGCGCCGGCCCGGGCGAGACGGACACCCTGAACGTGGTTCGTATGGCCGCACTGCGCGCCGCGGCGCGGTCGGGGCAGGACGTAGGACAAAGGAACCTCCCACTGGCGACAAGTGTGTTGGCCGCGCTCCAAAGGACAAGTTGATGTTCTATTGAATTAAGTTGATGTCCGGGCACGCCGGGCACCGAGCCGGGCACCGGGATGGGAAAGGGAAACCACTCTCGCTGAATGCTGCGGCGAGTGCGGCGCACCACAGTGGGCCAGAAGACCGGTGGAGGCGGCCAAAACTCCAGACGCGTTTTGAGCTCCAGAGTCGCTAGATGGGGCTCGAACCGAACGTGTGACCCCCACCAATGGATTGCTCGTTGGGAGAGCAATCCATTGGTGGGGTCACACGTTCAGTTTGAGTCCCATTAGCGACTGTAGAACTCAAAACGCGTCCGGGGCTTTGGCCGCCTCCACCGGTCTTCTGGCCCACTCTGCGAGTGTGCCTCCATCGATCCAATCTTGGTTCAGAAGAACGGACCCAAAGAATTCTTTGTAGTGTATTTTATTTTTATTTTAAATTTAGGAATGCTGTTTTGACCCTCATTTGACAAGTTTCCCCCTGCGCGTAGATTTCCTCGGTGAAGCTCTGGCTGTCGCGCGGCGGCGTGGCCTCCAAGCTGGTGCTGGGGCTGCCCCTGTACGGCCACAGCTTCACGCTCGCCGACGCCAGCAACTCCACTGTGGGCGCGCCCACGTCGGGGCCGGGCACCGCGGGGCCCTACACCAAGGAGGCGGGCACGCTCAGCTACCTCGAGGTAACGTCACTTAGGGACAACTCCTTCCAAATTTCTGGCAACAACATTTACTGCACAAAATATGTGAATTTTTCTTTCCGTCAAAGTGTATGGCCTGTTGGATGTATTTTCGAACTGTCGCAGATCTGCGAAATGCAGAAGGATGGGCAGTTCCCCGAAAAGTGGGACCAGGCCCGGGAAGTGCCGTACGCAGTGCAGGGCAATCAGTGGATCAGCTACGACAACGTTCGTTCCATCAAGATCAAGGTGAGACGCGTTTTGAGCCCCAGAGTCGCTAAATGTACCTCGCACCGAACGTGTGGCCCCACCAATGGATTGCTCTCCCAACGAGGAATCCATTGGTGGGGTCACACATTCGGTTCTAGTCCCATTTAGCAGCTCTGGAGGTCAAAACGCGTCTAGGGTTTTGGCCGCCTCTGCCGGTCGTCTGGCCCACTGTGAAGTGAGTACTGCGGTGGCCTCCAGGTTCGGCAGGTGGTGAAGCAGTACGGCTTGGCGGGTGCCATGGCGTGGTCGCTGGAGTCCGACGACTTCAAGAACTACTGCCCGCAGTCCGGCGGCGCGTACCCGCTGCTGCGCGCCGCCTTCCGCAGCATGTTCCAGGACGACGGCACCGGCCAGTAACCAAAAGCCACGCGGTGCGCCGGCGTCAACGTCACTGTGAACCGGCGGCTGCGAATTGCAACCGCGTTCACGCTAATCTTTGCTCACTGTCATATATGTGTTAAAAAATTTTCAATAATTATTGTCAAGCATTGTCAAATATTTCACATTTTTAAGTTGTTGTTATGTTTCACCGGTGGCTGGAGGAATAAATATCTCTTTCAATAGGAATCGATGTTGAATTTCCTCGACTTTGCGGTCGAAATCGATGTCGATTCGATACTCGATGGCAGCCCTCTGAATGGGAGGCTTGGCGATTCGCAGTGGGCCAGAAGACCGGTGGAGGCGGCCAAAACTCCGGACGCGCTTTGAGCCCCAGAGTCACTAGATGGGACGAGAACCGAACGTGTGACCCCACCAATGGGTTTTTCGTTCTGAGAGCAATCCATTGGTGGGGTCACACGTTCGGTTCGAGTCCCATTTAGCGACTCTGGGGCTCAAAACGCGTCTAGAGTCTTGGCCGCCTCCACCGGTCTTCTGGCCCACTGTGCGATTGTGGCCTGGAGGAGGCCGGGGAGGTCGAGGAGCTCCGCGGGATCCGTTTCACATTTAATTGGCTGCCTCAACACCGAGGAGCTCTCGAAGGCCGTCGCTGAAAAGCGAAACCACCGTTGTTGGCTTACAGTGCAGTGGAGGCGAAAAGGCTTTTGATTCCCCGCGCCAAACTCAGGGACGCGCTGTTGCCGGGGTGAACGAACCCGTGAATGGCACAGCCAGGCGCAGCGTCCGTCGTACCTGCAGTGGTGCGACGCTAGCGCCAGCCAGCGCCAGCATCCGACACTTCCCCGAGGTTCCGTCAAAAGCGCGCCCCGTGATGACTTCCTTTTTATTGCCTTTTCAAGAGTTGTGAGGGCCACTTTTGAGTTGGGCTCGGTGGCGGGCGGGCCGGGCGGGCGGCAGCCAGCGGCAGCGGCCGGGGGTGGGGGTGCGGCGAGGGAGGCGGCACGGCACGGCACGGCACGGCGGACCCACCCCGTCCCTGTCTCCCCCAGTCGCTCGTCGGCGGCCGAGGGCGGAGCACTGAGCAGCGTGTTGCCCGTCACCGCCTCTCTCGTCGTCCTTTCGAGCGTGTTCTCGCGCAGGCCGGCAGCCGTTCGCGGCACCGCGACCCTCGAGCACTCCGTCGAGGACGCCGTCGAGGCCTCCGCCGAGGTCGGCGAACCGCCGCCACCCATGGGCCCCGAACCGGGCGCCGGCCGCGGCCCCGACGACGCGAACCTCGGCGCCGAGGCCGAGCACGCCGAGACCCTCCTGTTGTTGTGGCCGGCGGCCGCTGCCAGGCCCGAACGCCGAGGAGGCGGTCTAGTTCCACTGTAGTGGTGCACGCCGCGACGCTCCCCGCCACCATGCCGCCTCTCAGCTTGCTGGGGATATACCTCGCGCTGCTCTGCCTGTCAGGTAAGGAGATTCCTGCGCGTTAGCAGCGAGGTAAACAACTGCTGGTGCGACTGCCCGTTTGGCAGTGGGGTAGTCGAGTCGACAACACCGACACGGCGTCTACCTCGTCAACCCGACCACGCCGCCCGAGCGAGCAGGCGGCGGTCTGCTCGCGTTCGAAGCGAGTGTTGTCTCTGTCGCGCAGCAGCGGGCGGGTCGGACGCCTCTGGTTCCACCGCCCGTTTCGAACGCACACACGCAGGCGAGCGAACGCACTGCTGCCGCTCGCCGCTCGCTTCGGCGAACGCCGCCCGCGTCCGCCTGTCTTCCGGGCCAGCCGTCCGATTCCGAGCACTGCTTTCGTCGCTCTGTCTCTCTCGCACTCATGGGGCGGTCCGTAGGGGTGCGAGAGAGACAGAGTGACGAAGCAGTGTTCGGAATCAGACGGCTGGTTGGGCCTGGCTCGGCGAGGCTCGGCCCGGCTAGCCGCCGCAGTGAGACAAGTGAGACTCGTCGCCGTCGCCCAGAAATGGGACCTGTTTGGACAGATGCCTTGCCGCGTGGCGGGCGGCGCGCGAGGGAGCTCCCCTCTACAGTGCAGGCGGCTGCGGCTCGGAACGCCGTGACGCCTGGCAGTCCCGCCGCACACGCTGGTCGACGGGATGCCTACTGCACCATTACCATTACCATTAAGGGCTAGACCACACAGCGCTCCGTGAAGACGGCCTCTCACATCGCGGCACAGTGACGCACAGTGGGCCAGAAGACCGGTGGAGGCGGACAAAACTCTAGACGCGTTTTGAGCTCCAGAGTCGCTGAATGGGACTCGAACCTAACGTGTGACCCCACCAATGGGTTCCTCGCTGGGAGAGCAATCCATTTGGTGGGGTCACACGCTCGTTTAGAGTCACATTTAGCCACTAGGGCCGCAGACGTGGCGTAGAGGGCAGACTGAGGTTCGCAGCCCCTCACGTGGGCCGTTCTGCCTGCTTGTGTGGCATGTGGCGCCACTGAGGCCCGTCCGCGGCCGTGCAGTAGGCCAATTCACCAAAATGACCGGAAAGAGAAAAAAAGTTGAATAAAGGAATAAAGCATGGTGCTCGAAAACGCGCCTTCCGTGCTCCGGATGCGGTGCCCGCCGTAGATAGTCCTATCGATAGCCTGCACGCCCGGCGTGTGTGAGGTGTGCGAGAGAGAGAGAGAGAGAGAGAGAGAGAGAGAGAGAGAGAGAGAGAGAGAGAGGCGCTGATTACGGACTAGGCGTCACAGTGGCGTGCCCGGTCCATCAAGGAACTTTTTAAAAATTATTTGTTTCACGTTACCGTTTTGTCCCATTTTCGTATTTTATCTCTCCGATCAGTACAGGCTCTAAACACTCCTCGAACCGGCCGTGTGACTCCCACCAATGGATTCCTCGTTCGGAGAGCAATCCATTGGTGGGGTCACACGTTCGGTTCGAGTAGTGTTTAAAGTCTCTGGAGCTCAAAACGCGTCTAGTGTTTTGGCCGCCTCCACCGGTCTTCTGGCAAAGCCACTGTGCGTCGTCGGGCGCGACGTTACCTTGACGGCTTGGCCGTGCCGAGACGCGGACAAGGACTGAGGTGTAGCCCTGCAGCCCTGCAGCCCTGCAGCCAGCCAGAGGACTTGTTAACACGTCTCTCGCTCAACTTTTCAAGGTTCATTACAAGGGGATTAGCAAGTCTCCCCGCGAGACGGCCGTCCGGGCGGCTGTTTAGTGTTCAGCGCCCCCTGCCACCCTCCCGGGGGCACACAGTGGGCCGGAAGACCGGCGGAGGCGAAAACTCTAGACGCGTTTTGAGCTCCACAGTCGCTAAGCAGGGCTCGAACCGAACGTGTGACCCCACCAACGGATTCCTCCCTTGGAGAGCAATCCATTGGTGGGGTGACACGTTCGGTTCGAGTCCCATTTAGCGACTCTGGAGCTCAAAACGCGTCTAGAGTTTTGGCCGCCGCCACCGGTCTTCTGGCCCACTGTGGGCTGCACAATGTTGAGCGTAATGACAATCAATGAGACAAGCACGAATCACAAGACGAAATTTCAAGTAATGCACTCCTGGGGTTACCTCCATACCTCGACGGTTTTATTTTTTTTTTTTTATTGTGAATATTATTGAAGAGTGCATGCAAGTTTGAGGATTTGGCTTGTGGCCCACGGAGTCCTGAACGCGTTTTTGCATCTTTGCACTTTTAAAATTAATGACAGTTAATTTGGCACTCGAGTTCAAGGAAACTTGAGCAAACGCGATACGAACATATTAAGACTTGATTAAACACGGACTAGATCTAAATCCCCAACACCACCAAAATCCTCTGACCGCAGCGTTGGCACTCGCACCGGCAGCGGGCCCGTCACTTTACACGACAAACTGGCAGAATCGACAGGTTTATTGTTGAAAAATACAAACAAACAGGAATCACAAGATGCGGTAAAAACCTCTGGGGCACTGGTTGGCGGCGTGCTGGCGGCGGGCTGGCGGGGCCCAGACGGCGGGGCGCGGCGGGGCGGGGCGGGGCGGGGCGGGGCGTTCCCCGGGGGGCGGCGGGGCGTTGCGGGGCGCGGCGGGGCGCGGCGGGGCGCGAGGGTGGGCTACTCGTCGGAGCCCATGTACTGGCCGACGATGTCACGCATCATCTTGGAGTTCTTCCACGCGCACACTGCAAGTGCTGCGGCCGCCTCGCAGTTCTTCTTGCCCTTGTAGGAGTCCTTGCAGGTGGGGAACACCCGCTTGTACTCGTCGGACCAGGGGTCGTATCCGAACTCGTGCACGGCCTTGGTGAAGGCGTCCACGTCGTACTCGCCGTCCTCGGACATGAGCTTGCGCTTCTTGGCCACGCACGCGGGCACGCACTTGCAGGGCGTGAACTTCTCCTGGTTGAGGTCCGTGCCGTCCTTCATCATCTCCTTGCAGACGGTGAAGTCCATCTCGTAGTCCTTGACGCAGTCCATGGCCGCCGCCATGTACTCCGGGATGAGCTTGTCCCGGTTGTCCTCCGCCGCCACGGCGGCCACCACGGCCGCCAGCACCACCAGGAGCAGGCTCTTCATGTCTGGCGGTGGCGTGCTGAGTGGCGGCCCGCGGGGCGCGCGGCTTATATACGTGGCCGATGGCCGGCAGACCCATTCCGAGAGTCCTTTTCGTCGCTCCGTCTCCCTCGCACTCATGGGGCGTCCCGTGCAGGTGCGAGAGAGACAGAGCGACGAAAACGACTCGCTCCGCAGGATGGCCGGACCCGCAAGGTCGCATGCGCGGTGCGGCGCGCTGGTCCGGTGCAAGCACGCCACGTCGCCACACTGCGAAAGGGACAAAAGGGGCACGTTTTTTCGCGCTCTGGCACGAGGTGGCCTGCCAGTGTCGTCCCGGGATCGGTTTGTTGTATCACCACCTAATGCATTCCTCAAAAAGAAAAAAAAATAAAAAAAATGCCATTTTGATGAGATTGATACACAAGAGCTGCAGAGTCGCTAGATGGGACTGGAACCGAACCTGTGACCCCACCAATGGATTGCTCTCCGAACGAGGAATCCATTGGTGGGGTCACACGTTCGGTTCGAGTCGCGTTTAGCGGACTCTGCAGCTCAAAACGCGTCCGGGGTTTTGACCGCCTCCACCGGTCTTCTGGCAAATCCACTGTGGCTGCACCCGGGCCCGCGTCTTACCGTCCGGCAACCTCGTGACCTTCGAACGCTTCGCACGCAGCCTGGAAGAGTGTAGTCTAATTAGCCCCTCTCAAGTCGAGGCTCCTCCAGGACGCCCCCCCCCTCCTCTCTTGCTGGAACCGGCAGTAACAGCTGCTTTACGGAAATGAAAAAGGCTAGACGGCTGCAATGCCGAGAGCGATGCGCTTTTTAAAGTAGTTAGCGTCCTCTCTTTTTGCCATCTCGCTTTTTTGGGTGTTTTTTTTTCACTTCTCTCTCTCTCTCTCTCTCTCTCTCTCTCTCTCTCTCTCGACGCGCGTTTTCTTGCCTTTCTCACCCCCGCGAAAAAACAAGCGCATCGGATTGTGGTTGCGGTGGCTCTTTTTAGGCAGTGTGCCGCTTAAAAGGCGCGACAGTGGCGTGAACCCGCGGACGACCTGCGTCGCTCCGTCTCCCTCGCACCTTGACTGCACGCCCATGCGCCCCGTGGGTGCGAGAGAGACGGAGACAGGAGCGCCTCTTTATAACGACGGCCTTCGTTGCGTCATTTCGACATTCGCACACGATGCAGCCGCGACGCGCAATTAGGGTTCGTCTCATTAAGTGAGAGAGAGAGAGAGAGAGAGAGAGAGAGAGAGAGAGAGAGAGAGAAGAGAGAGAGAGAGAGAGAGAGATTGATTGATTGATTGATTGATTTATTTATTTAGTAGGTACAATACAAGAGGACTCTTAAGTCCCACGAGAGTATGGCACCGCTCTCGGGATCAGGTACAAATCAAAAGTCATGCTTACATTGCAGGTAATTACACACATAAAAAAAAAAGAAATAAGAATACCAATTTTGTAACAGATTTACAGATTAACAGATTTAGAATTGAGTTGATGAGTAGACAGTAAAACTACCTATTTATATGAGTTACTGAGTAGAAGCTTAATGTATTTCTTAAATGCAGCAACACTTTCCATGCAGAGATATTTGTAACCACCTAGTGAGTTGAAGGCACGAGAGGCAGAAATACAAAATGAGTTAGCATATTTTTCAGTGCGATGTATCGGAATTACAATCAGCTCAGGATGTCGGTGAGAGAAGTTGAACATTTGGTACAAGTAATGAGGGCAGTTGCATTTTAAAATCTTCCAAGTAAGAGTGGCAAGAGCCAATGTGCGTCTATCAGCCAGCTTTAGGAGGCCTAAATTTACATAGTCAGGTGTTATATGCTCATACCTCTTAGTATTTGTAATGAATCGTATGCACGCATTTTCAGCTTTTTGAATTTTGTGCGTGATACCTTTATTCATATCTGTGAACAGAACTGAGGCGTAATCGATATGGGGCAAGACAAGACTTTGAACAATGCGGAGTCTTATGGTTGCAGGCAAGCAATCGAAATTTCGGCGAGCTTGAGCCAGAGTACGAAAGACTTTACCAACAATCTTATTAGCTTGCTGCCGCCAACTAAGAGTGGAGTCAAAGACTACACCGAGATTATTGGCTTCCTCACAGTATGGCACTGATACATCATTAATAGTCACCAGTGGTACATCCAGTTGTTTTAGCGAGTTCAAATAGTAGCCAGAACCTATAATAATTGGTTGTGTCTTTGCGACATTAAGGTACAAGTTATGACTAGAAATGTAATGAACCAAATTACAGAGATCCTCATTAACCCTGGATACAGTTTCATTAAGGTTATCAACTGAAAAATCTGCATAGAGTTGAGTATCATCAGCGTATAGGTGGTATTTGGTGTGCTTTAAAATAGCGGATATGTCAAATAGATACAGGATGAAAAGTAATGGACCAAGCACACTGCCTTGAGGGACGCCCGTTTCCACGGGGGCCCATTCAGAAATGAACTCATCTCCTGACATAACACGTTGAAATCTATTGGACAGATAGTCATGTAGCCACTTAATAACTGACCATGAAAAGCCGAGCTTTTTCAACTTGATGAGTAATAATGTATGATTCACCCTGTCAAAGGCTTTGCTAAAGTCAAGCAGCACAAGAAGGGTCAATTTCCTGTCATCCATCGATTTACGGATGTCATCAGCAACTTTTACAAGTGCAGTGGCAGTGCTGTGGCCCTTTCTGAATCCTGATTGCAGTGGATTAACTAGATTATTGTCAACGACATAATCATACATTTGGTCGTGGACCAATTTCTCCAGGACTTTGGCAAACAAACACAAGATACTGACTGGACGGAAATCTGCACAGCAAGTAGGGTTAAGGATCTTTGCTAAGGGTAATACATTTGCTAGCTTCCAGAGAGACGGGAATACGCCAGACTGTAGGCAGTAATTCAATATGTGTTCCAGCACAAAAATTATGGAGTCCAGAAACAATTTAACAAATCGTAGAGATATCCCATCCACACCGACAGCATTGGATTTGAAATTCATAATGATTTTGTGAATTTCCTGGGCCGGTACAAACTTAAAATGGAATAAATTATCAGGATCAGTATCACACTTCATGGCCTCGTAGTAGGTTTCTGCTTCCAGTGCTAGCTCCTTATCATCTATTTTAGAGACATTTAGGTAATGTTTATTTAATTCATCTGCAGAAACAGGGAAACTATCTGATGAGCTTTGTTTTGTCTTACCCATACCAAGTGACCGGATAGAGGCCCAGATTTTACTAGCTGATTTATTGTCATCAAAGATTTTATGGTAGCACCTCTGCTTTGCATTCCTGCATTGTTGCTTGGCCTGGTTCCGCAAATCAATGAAAACTTTACGGTCAGTGGGATCTTTACTTTTGAGAGATTTTTTCCTGGCCTTATCTCTCTCATTCATCATAATTCTTAATTCATTTGTCATCCATGGAGGTTCATTTTGCTTAACTTTGATAGACTTAACTGGGGCATGTTTCTCCAGCAGCTGGAACATATATTCATTAAACATTTCAACTTTGCTATCAACATTGTCACACTCATATATTTTTTGCCATTGGAGAGAGAGAGAGAGGGAGAGAGAGAGGGAGGGAGGGAGGGAGAGAGAGAGAGAGAGAGAGAGAGAGAGAGAGAGAGAGAGAGAGAGAGAGGAGAGGGAGAGAGGGGGGAGGGGGTAAGTAGAGACGAGAAACCCATCACACACTCTAACTCATTTTCAGCACCGTCCCGCGCCCCGCGTTAACAAATTTTAAAGCACGCCGTAACAGACATTAGCGACAAATAGGGGAGCGGCGACCCTAGCGCGGCCTGTCCCGGCCTGTCCCCCGAGGATGTTATCTGCTGTGTTATTCGCAACCCCTTCACCCCTTCAACGCCTCTGTCCCCCCTCTCTCTCGCACTCTCGCCCCCGGCCGCGTGTACCGCTATCTCTTTCACAGCCGACTTGGCCCGCAAGATGATATTTATCGTCATTAGCACGTCCCGGTGGCGGGGCTGTCCTGGACGCCGCCGGCCTGCGTGTCCTCGACGCGCACCTCGACCACGGCGGGCCAGAAGACCAGTGGGGGCAGTCCAAACCCCGGACGCGTTTCGAGCTCCAGAGTCGCTAAGCGGGACTCGAACCGAACGTGTGACCCCACCAATGGATTGCTCTCCGAACGAGGAATCCATTGGTGGGGTCACACGCTCGGTTCGTGTCCCGTTTGGCGACTCTGGAGCTCAAAACGCGTCTAGGCGTTGGCCGCCGGCGCCGGTCATCTAGCCCACTGTGCCTTTTTGATTTTTTTAAAGCGACTTTGTAGTGTATTTGCAGCAGTGCGATGCAGTAATGACTCTGCATCCTGCCCCCCCGGTCCTCTGGCAGTGCCCCGCCATCACGAGGACGAGCGAGTTTGACAACTTTTCGAGTGTGCCCGGCCGCGCCGGCTTAAGGTTCGTGCATGCATAAGGACTCCGCCATCTTGGCGTTGCCTCCGCGGCCTCGCCCCGAAAATCACCGCCCACCAAATTAACCTCCTTCTTCTCCTCCTCCTCCTTTTTCGTTGTTGTTGTTGTTGTTGTTGTTGTTGTTGTTGTTGTTGTTACTGCGAGGGAGGCACCTACTCGTCGGTGCTGCGGCTGCGCCCAGGCTGCGCCACCACCGCTTTCCAATTCTTTGTCCTTCTCTCTCGCTCTCCGTTTCCACACGCTTCGCTTCGCCCGCTGCGCTCCCCGACCCGACAACGACCACTTTGATAGTCCGGTAAGTGTCCCAACGGGCCGAGCGTGGTCTGGGGAGGGGGTGTTTCGCCCCGCTTCTTTTAATTGTCTGGCCGTGCTGTTACTCCGCCAGAGGATTCCCCCGGCCATCTCCACTACTCTTGCCGCCCTCCGCGGCGCACTCCGCGTCCTTCTTCCAGTGGCGGCGCCAGGACCGCCACAGTGGGCCAGGAGAACGGTGCAGGCGGGCAAAATCCCGGACGCGTTTTGAGCTCCAGAGTCGCTGGGACTCGGACCGAACGTGTGACCCCACCAATGGATAGCTCTCCGAAC